TACTAATTGGTCGTTTAGGCTTTAATCATGTACTTACCTTTCTTGATTGTGATTACTTGTTATGACTTGCTTAACCCTTCGGCAAGAGGCCGATCCGGCTAATCAATACTAGTCGGAACGGCAAATGACCGAACCGTCTAGTCCGTATACGGCAGCCTGTATACTTCCGGTATGTTCTATGTCGGAACGGTACCTGACCGAGCCGACTCGATGAATGATGATGGTCCATATTTGCATTAACCAGACTGATGTCGGTTCTCGGCTTCATGCCGAGCCGACGTTGATGGTGATGCTTGTACATGGCTATGCATGGGTGTCTGACGAAATGGCACGTGTTGGCCCACGTGACCGATACGGTCTCTCCGGTACATATATATATAAAGACAAGTATAGAAAGTAATTACAAACGATTTTACAAAAAGACAAACAATGTACAAAGATTAAGAAAAAAAGTTGAAAAAATTAATAGCAGTTCATGAATATTATACATTTATATACAATATATTTATTTTTAATAAATTCATGTTAGCATAGGAGCATCCTATATATTTTAAGAAGTTTCCTTGTTTGTGTCGATGTTACATTGTATCCAAGTTTAGCTTCCAATTGATTATGCATGATTAAAACTTTTGACGCAGACATTTTAACTTTTTCTTTGAATGCAATCGTGATATGATAAGGTATGAAAAGGTAAAGAGATTTGGTGTATCCTATGTATATTTCCATGTGACACGCATCCTATAGTTAATTTGAACAATGTTGTAACTGAGAGAATAAGAAGCTTTCATGATTTCATGACTGCCATGTTTAGACAATAATGAAACTAAAGAGGTATCTCATGTGTCCACTTGTTGACATGGGAAACAAAGGACACAATCCCTTGTTGCTTTTTATATCTAGACTCTTGAGAGTCTAGAGGATTGCTTGTGTTTGTGGAAAAGGGGCATCACCAAATCATTTCCATAGGCATCAGGGAGATGCCAGAACATTCCATGTTAACTATTTTCCATTCAACACACACTTGTCTAATTTAGGGAAAAAAATTAAATAATTTGTATGTCTTAAAGTGAGAGCAGACATTGATATGAGAGCCAAGAGACTTTTTGAGATCAGACTTAAAGTTTTGTGGAAAAGCAAATTGCCAAATCATTTTTACATCATTCCCATGCCCCACATGTAAAGCTAATAGCGATAGTTCTTTTTTCATGATCAATTTCGGTTTTTGAGTTTTGAAAGGGAAAACACCATATTACTGTGGGAATGACACACTTGACCAAACCTAAAAAGGATTCAACGTAGTGCTGTTTTTTTATAAGTTTTTTTAGATAAAGTGTTACTTGTACATGTTGTCAAAGGGTAAGAAATAACTCAATGAATAAAAAAGAAGAAAGAACTCAATCTGATACCAAGAGTTGTCAAGTGGGTACAAGTACATGGTTTACTGGTTTGGGTTAATTTAAAGGCTGAAAATTAATGATTATGCAATTTTAGAAATCGAGTATAGCATTTGTTCGTCTTAAAATATGACGAATGGTATAGTTTTAAAAAATGGAAGAGATAAGCAGCATAACAAAATATAGAGTTAACAAAATCAAGAGAGAAGCGTGCTGGAAAAAAAAGGGTCACACAAAAATTAAATAAAGAAAAAGAATAAAATCAAACCCATTACAAGGTTGTTTACTTTAGCATTAAGCCAACTTCACTTAGCTAAATCTCATGCGTTCAAGCCAAAATTTCCAATGGATTATCCAGATGTGATTAAAAATTATATATAAAAGGTAAAATCAACTAAAACCAAGCAATATGGGACTTAAATATTTTGAAAACACAACAGTTGGAAGCTTTGGTGATTAGCACTTCTGATTGTGATTCCATCAAATCCATTCACGGAATGCTGATGAAAATTTGAAAGACAATGGTATGAATACAAGCTGAATTACAGAGTTAGAGCCACACTAATTTATAAGATGGACACAATGAGATCAATAACTTGAACCAAACTAAACATAAAACAATAAATAAAAAATCACTCTACTATCATGAACTAACTAAAATAAATAAAAAAGAATTAGTTTGTAGCGATTAACGAAATCAATTAACTAATTACACCAGAAATTTTCATTTTTTTCACACTTCCTGCTAATTAATTAAACTACTTATATACAACAGACTCACACTTCAGTAATTATACACAATCTTTTGCTAAAAAGCTCAATGGTATGAATACAAGCTGAATTACAAACTTGTTCTGAAAACATTTACATAAGAAATCCGAAAGCCTGGAACATGTACAATTGAGCAGCCAAAAGTTTTGTTCCCTCTTTTTCTATGTATTTTTTCATCGTCCACTATAATCTCCCTTCTAACATGCCTGGGTGGATGAATACCTTCCACAAAAGCAGTCTGATCCATAGCACTGCCAGCTAGTCAGACACAGAATACATACAGCTTGGATTCAATAACAAATGGTTAACTTATGTATTCACAACTTGATATGCTGGCAGCCTAGTATGCAACTCAGCTTATAAGAACCATATTCATTTGCTATCAGTGTTCAAATGTCAAGTCCAGCAGGATGGATATATACACTGAAGTGAAATCTCTTTATAACAAAGACAATTCTCAAGATCTTCAATAACAGCTGCCAAACTTTAGTTTGTTTCTGATCCTCTTTTGCATCTGTTGTTTGTCATGACAACATGAATCTTCGAGTTTCAAATGGTGGATTTTGCTACTAAACTAAGCTTGAGAAACTGCCTGCTCAAGATATTTGAAAGTTTTCTGATATTTTAAGACTCCCATAAACCAGAAATCAAAATTGTCAACTGTTACTATCTCTATGTATTTCTGTGTTGGCTCCTGGACATTTTTACTTTGGTTCACACACTTGATCTTCTTCAATGGAATAACAACCTGCACATTATCGTAATATATCTTTCAGAACTTCAACAAATATTGGATAAAGAGACACTAAGAAAGGGATTTATAGGCTCTCCATAAATACTTTGGAGAAGAATAAAAAAGGGACAAAATGGTTGACCTTATATCGAATCCTCAACATATGGCCTTTCTGAGTAAAGACTTTCATTGATCTCTCACTGCAGAAGGCAACCTTGTCAGTGGAGATGAAGAGGAAACCTGCTAGAGGACCGGATGTTGTGGACAGATAACACTGTGAAACTTTCAACAGCCTCTCTCCTTCTTCAATGCTAAAAAACTGTTTAAACACTTTTTCTACTCCACCAACTCGAAGAATGCGAGCCCCTAAACTTAACTTTCTCTTAACAGTTTCGGATATATTTGTCCTCAGTCTAACTGCAGTTTAAGAATAATAACATAGAATTAGATCCGTTCACCAAGCTAAACAATTTCAAATATATATAAATATTAAATAGGACTAAACAAAGTTGGATGTTAGTCTGTAAAGAAATAGAAAATTTTACCTTGCTTTGATGTTGTGGTTGAATATTGGCATTGAGTGGCAGGACCAGGTAAGTATCTATTAACTGACTTTTGAAGCTGATCATATGTTGCTGAGATGACTGGAGTTCCAACAACTAGCTCGTGAAGAAGTGAGGCCTGCATGATTGATGATTAATAAGGTTTCTGTTTAATCAAAGGGACTAGGTGCAGGTGAAGAGGAATGATCTGAACTACTAGGTTGTTAAGGGAATTATGCTCACTTGGGTTGATGAGTCCTTTGTATTCCAAAGAGGTATTTAAAGGAATGAAAACTAGGAAGTGAATCTTGACCCTTTGGTGAGATGACTCAGCCTTGGATCACAACCAAGATCATGTTTGTCATAAAGGCACTAACATGGCAACTTGAAGGAAAGTTATTGAAGATAATATTTTGACGTCATGGATTGTTTGGCTGCTTTAAGAAAAAAGATGGTACTGAAATATTGAAGTCAACTTTTTCAAAATTTTAAAAATCAATGAAAGGTTAGTTTTAAGAGGCTTAGTGTTATATAGCTTCAGGAGCAAGGTTCCATGGTGAATCGTGATTGATGGAAGTAAGGAAATAAAAGCATTGTTGCTGATGGCATATTTCCCTATTATCTCACAAACCATTGGAGAACTATAATGTATTGGAAACAGGTAAGCAAATCAAACCGGAAAAAGTAAATGATGAAATACACCCATTAGTTTCAAATTGCAATACTTTTCTTTTACACCTGCTTATGTGAGGATGCGTCACCAAGGCTTTTGAGCTGGAATTTTAACTTTCTGATGTGATAAGGGGAAAAAAGTACAGAGATAGTGAAGTTTATCCCATGTGACTATCTATTATACACCACCTATTTGCAATTAGCAGACTGTATAACATAAAATATCATTATACTCTTTCTCTAACACGGTCGAAGGTTGAATTAAATTTATGAATATTGAATGGTAAAATAGTGTCGAGACTTGATGAAAGGTTCAAGTTGGGACCTAGGGGGTGTGTCATGATACATACACACTTCATGAATAGGCATTAGGCAAGCTAACAGGACATGTGCCGACATGTGATGTGGGAGACAACGCAATCTCTTGCTTTTCTCGAGAGAAAGGGGAGCATGCCCTCTATATGCATATGCCTTTATTTTGTTTGAGTGATTGAATTGATATCAGCAGCAACTAAGTCTAAAACCATTGCATTCATGCTCTCCTGGAGTTCGAAACTAAGCTATATAGTATAGTAAGGGTGGGAAAGCATTTCATTTATTCATCATTCATCCAATTAAACCCATCTATAAGTAAATTCATCCTATCCATCCAAATTATAAAAAATAATAATAAATGGATTGATTCAATCTATCTATTTAATAAGTCATTAAGGATGTCAGCCCATCATGCCTTTTGTTTGGTCAAACTATATCATAATGTTATCTATCTGACAGGGCTATGATCGTAAGGAATAAATAAGAGAAAAAAGACAAAGCTATGGCTACTGTTTCTATGTCATACTAGAGAATTAATATTGCGCTTTGAAATTTGAAGGGAATGATCAAATTTACTGCATTGAGTTCTATTTTTTTTTTTTTTGTCATTACATTTCTAGATTAATTATCAAGTGAGTTGCGCAAGTTGTCAAGTGGGGTACCTACACTTGGTTTACAAGTGTAAGTTATAAGTGATATATAACTTATCATCTACCCATGAAGTTAACTTTCATACCCATGAAATTGTACAAAAAGCTTCAGAATTGGCACCTCCCCCATTTCTTTGCAACCACACAACTCCCTATTTTTATTCCTCACCCATTTATTCTCCTTCATCCTATTTGTTTGATACAAAACAGATGGGTAGTGTTATCTAATATGTATGTCCTTAACATATTTAATTTGTGAGATCAGTGAGGAATTGGAAAGTTTATTTGGCGAATTAAGCTTCTACATCACAGGAAATCATTACTGAAGCCAAGACCCTTTTTTTTGGTCAAACTATATTGCTCCAAGGTTTTGTGGAAAAGCAAATTGCCAAATCATTTCTACATCATTTACATGTCCCACATTGTAAAGCTGATTGCAAAAATTCCTTTTTCATCACTTTCGGTTTTTGAGTTTTGAAGGGAAAACACTTTGTTACTGTCGGCCTAACAACCTTGACCTGACCCGCAAAGAATTGGTCAAATTTACTCCACGTGTGTATGATATGCAAACTGTTGTGTAAATTTAATGGCCGAGAATTAATGATTATACAATCTTTAAAGAAATGGAAGAGATTGGCTGCATAACAAGATAGAGTTAACAAATTCAATAGAGAAGCTTAAAACATCAGATAGAATAAGGGTCACACTAAAATAATTAACCAAAAAAAAACCAATGAAACCCATTATTGGGAGTTTCACTTGGTCAAATTTTCTATTACCTTAGAACATCAAACAAAATTTGATACATAAACACTTGAAGGTAAATAAAAATAAGCAAATATTCTGAAAGTCTCATAAGTCTCATATACACAACAGTTGGAAGCTATGATGATTAGCGTTTCTGATTGTTATTCCACACATGGAATGTTGATGAAATTGTAGAAGTCCAGGTGTTATATTGTCACAATTCAGTCACAAAAGAAGACCCTATCCTTATCACTCGGACAATCCAAATTTTTCCGTTTCTGATGCAATCTCATAGTTAGAGCAATCCTAATTTATAAGATGAATCTAGTGAAATCAACTAATTATACTATAGAAGTGTCCATTTATCAATGTATTCTATCAGCCTTCCTGCTAATCAATTAAACAATGTAAATAAAATAGACTCTGCATTTAAATAATTATGTACAAATTTTGCTTGAGTTAGACAGTATGAATACAAGCTGAATTACAAAGTTGTCCTGGAAACATTTACATAATAAATTGTGTCTGAAACATGTACATTTGAGCAGCTAACAGTTTTGTCCCCTCTTTTTCTATGTATTTTTTCTTCCTCTACTATAATCTACCCCTCTCTGCATGAATGGATAACTTCCACTAAAGCAGTCTTATCCTTAGCACGCTGACAGCAAGTCAGACACAAAATACATACAACTTGGATTCTGCAACAAATGGTGAACACCAGCATTCACAACTTAATATGCTGGAAGCCATGTCTGCAACTCAGCTGATATAAATCACTTCCATTTGCAGTCACTAGTCAAATATGGTGACAAGCAGGATGGATATATAAAATGAAGTGAAATCCCTTTTATCAAAGATAAAACTCAACATCTTCAACAGTAGCTGCCAAATTTTAGCTTGTTTCTGATCATTTTTGTTTGTGCAGACAACGTCAATCTTCGGGTTTAAACAGGTGATTTTCCCACTGAACTAAGCTTGAGAAATTGCCTGTTCAAGATATTTGAAAGTTTTCTGATATTTAAAGACACCCAAAAACCAAAAATCAAAATTGTCCACTGTGACTATCTGTATGTACTTCTGTGTTGGCTTCTGAGCATTTTTACTTTGGTTCACACACTTGATCTTCTTCAGTGGAATGACAACCTGCACATAACCATGTATACTTTAGAACTTCAACAAATCTTGGATCGAGAGAAACTGAGAAATGTGAAGATAGGCCAGGGCAATTTTTCCATAAAATAAGAAGTCAAATAATAAAACTTTTCTAAGCTGCAATAAGTTTATCCATTTCTTATTGAAAGTAGATAGATATATAAGAGAATTTTTACAATGAGGGGTCATAAAATGATTTTTTTGATTTGTATATATTACTGCATGACTGACCTTATAACGGATCCTCAACATGTGGCCTTTCTGAGTAAAGACTTTCATTGATCTCTCACTGCAGAATGCAACCTTGTGAGTGGAGATGAAGAGGAAACCTGCTAGAGGGCCCGATGTGGTGGACAGATAACACTCGGAAACTTTCAACAGTCTTTCTCCTTCTTCCACGCTGAAAAACTGCTTAAACACCTTTTCCACTCCACCCACTCGAAGAATGCGAGCCCCTAAACTTAACTTTCTCTTAACAGTTTCAGATATATTTGTCCCCACTTTAACTGCAATTTTAGAATAATAAAATAGAATTAGATCCGTTCACCAAGCTAAACAATTTCAGGCATAAATATAAATAGGTCTATACAAATTTAGATGTTAGTATGTAAAGAAAAAGAAATTTTTACCTTGCTTTGATGTTGTGGCTGAATATTGGCATTGAGTGGCAGGACCAGGTAGGTATCGGTTAACTGACTTTTGAAGCTGATCATATGTTGATGAGATGACTGGAGTTCCAACAACTAGCTCGTGAAGAAGTGAGGCCTGCATGATTGATGATTAATAAGGTTTCTGTTTAGTTGAAGAGACTAGGTGCAGGTGAAGAGGAATGGTGTGAACTACTGGGCTGTTAGGGAAATTATGCTCGCTTGGGTTGATGAGTCCCTTGTATTCCAAAGTGGTATTTAAAGGGATGAAAACTAGGAAGTGAATCTTGACCCTTTGGTTGGATGACTCATCTTTAGATCATCAACCATGATAAGTTTGATACAAAGGCACTGACATGGCAACTTGAAGGAAAGTTATTCAAGATAATATTTTGAATTTTGATGTCATGAATTGTTTGGTTGGCTGGTTTTAGAAAAAAAAAATCACAGAAAGTTCCAAGTCAACTTTTTCAAAATTTAATAAATCCTTGAAAGATTAATTTTAAGAGGCTTAGAGAAAGCTAGATTTGTATATCTTCAAGAGCAAGGTTCAACGGAGATTGATGGAAGCAATGAAATAAAAGCATTGTTGTTGACGGCATATTGCCATGTTGTCACATGAACCAATGAAAAACTGCTCTGTTTTGAAAACAGTAATAAGGAAATTAAACCGAAAAAAGTAATAAACACTGATTAGTTGCAAAACTTTTTGGTTACATATGCTTATGTGAGGATGTGTCACCAAGGCTGTATGAGCTGGCATTTAAACTTTCTGATGCCACACTTCTCCTGTGATAAGAGGAAAAAGTAAAAAAGATGGTGGCAAAGTGTATCACATGCATGTGACGATCTAACGTTTGCATATAACAGACTGCTTAACATAAAATATCATTTTTTGCTTTCTCTAACACGGTTGAAGGTTGATTTATATTTATGAAAGTTCAATGTTAAAATAGTATTTAGACTTTATAAAAGTTGGAGGTGAGTTTGGGGTGTGTCAACATACATACCCTCTTTAAAGTTGACAGGACATGTGCCGACATGTGATGTGGAGTCTCTTTCTTTTCTCAAGGGTATATAGATATGCCTTTTATCTTATTTTCGTGTGATTGACTCATCATTGAAGAAATTGATATCAGCAGCAACTAAAACCATGCATTCATGCCCTCATGTGGTTTGAGACTAAACTAAAGGAGCAGTCATTAACGAACCTGATACTGCTTTTTGTTGGGTCAAATCTAGTAATAAAGTGAACTTGATGACAGGGCTATGATGATGGTAATGTGGATAAATAATTATTATAAAGAAAACTAAACAATCCAAGGTGAAATTGTTTGAGTCAGAAATGGAAAGTGATCTGCGGCCGCACGTTGGCTATGAAAGTCATGTGCCTAGGAGCAGTTAGGGGAGAAAAGAGTGTCCGACATACTTCAAAGTTTTGTGGAAAAGCAAATTGCAAGGTCTCATATATGAAACTGATATTAATAGAAGTTGCTTCTCCAACAATTTTTTTGAAGGGCATATGCTACTGTTGCAGGACACACCTAACCTTGCTAACAAGGAATTAATGTTGTGCTTTGAAATTTGAAGGAAACTATCAAATTTACGAGATTTATACAATAAAATTGTAATTAAAAAATTTAAAATATTGAGATCATCCATTTTTTAAAAAAATAAATAAATTTTAAAATGTTCAAAACAAATTACTAATGTCTTCAAATATTTGAAACATAATTCTCTTAATGATTGAAGATTGCGAGACTTTTTTTATTGCTTTTCTGTGTATGAAATGATAAGCCATTAAGCCTATATCTTTAATGAAATGATAAGTCAATGTCCTTGTGAAATGCTATTGACCTTCCTTCCAAGTTTCTTCATATTTCAATATAATCTGGCTGAAACATTGAAACTCTCAATATTGCTGATAAAATTAAATCCATGTTCATAAATTGACGAAATAAATTATTTTGCTTTAAAAAAATTATATCTACGTTGATAATGAACAAAAGGAGTTATTTTAATTAACAAATTAACTTACTTAATGCTGATCTGGAAAATGACTTTTAAAGCTGACCAAATGCTATATAAAAAGACCGGTGTTCTACTAAATCATATGATACGGTAATAAATATTTATCTTACAAAAATAATAAAGTAATATATTGCATTCATCTGAAACAAGCATTCATCCTCACTGCAAATAAGTGAAAAAAATCTTTATGACAAATTTTGAACTTGAGATTACAGGGCTTTACCCAAAAGGGAGCCCTTCCAGAAATTCTCTATGGCCTGGGCCAAACCCAGGCCAAAGAGGGGGTTTGGAAATAGTTTTCAACCAGCAATAGACGCGCCTCGGTTAGAACCTCACTAGCTGCGTCATTGCCCCAAGCGCAAAGATGCTTTGCTTCTACATCTGACAATTCATTTTATAATAGCTTCTGTCAGTTTCATCTTGCTTCAGTCAATGTGGGACTTTAGCTTACAAGGTACCAATAGCTGACCTTATCAGAACTCTCAAGGATTTTCCATCTAACAGTTAATACAATGATAGGGAGGAACTTTTCAAGGTACCCCATCCAGCTACACAGGTACCATCTTGTTCCTATTTGTGATAAAACATATTGAAGTACCTCTAAACCCAACAGCTTTCTGCCAGGCTCTGGATATGTCTTCTTTTACCCTGGTATAGTGCTTTGACTCTCATTATTTTTGTTAATATACACAGACTGGCAAAGTATCTATCAACAGTCTTCTGGAAGATGTAAACTTGCTGGTAGAAACCCAGAACATTAAATTATTGAAGTAAATCCCAAAGTTGACAAATGCTCTTTTTAGATTTAGATTGTTTAGTGTTATTATTAATGAATTATTTAAGCTATTGGTTTTATTATTGGTTCTCAGTGAACGAGAAGCTATGAAGTCTTGCAATGTTTCATGTGACTCATGTGAGTTGCAGTGTTTATTTTGTTGCATATATTCTGTTGTTGTGATTGTCAATGTGTTTTGTGTTTGAATGTACGGCCAATATTTTCCTTATCTTTGTTTTGGTACATTAATATCATCGACTTGGGTGTAAAATTTATGAATTCACTTGTCATCAATGTTTGTCCCTTCTACTTTTGGAATAACAAAATATTAAAAGTAAAAAATTAATAGAAATGTACTTTGGGAGATGGGACTGAAATACAATTTCTGGTAATCAGGTTCTAAAAACATTACGTGATTATTCAGAAGTAATTGACCTTGAAACTTCTACAGTTGAGTTGGTAATCTCCCTTAATTCAGTTTTCTTCCCTCTTAATTCAGTTTCTATGTGCTTTGAACTTTTCTTTTATGGTAGTCTCCCTTTACAGAGCTCTATCATATACCTTCTGCAAAAGCAGAGTCTGATCCTTAATAATTTAGCATAGTCAACTATTCAATCACAGGAATACGTATGGCTTGCATACTGCAATATAGATGGTACCAATAGTGGTGAACTCTTGTATTTGCAACATTTTTACACAATAAGTGAGTAGGCAAGTAATTCAGCCGATAAGGGAACTCTCGAGCATTTGCTGTCCCAGACTAAAATGTTGTTTCCGGAAAGATGGATAATACAATGAAGCTCCTTATAGCCCAATTTCTTTATTGATAACTGTCCATTTTCGAGTTAAGTAAAAAAATTTCTAAAATCTAAACCAAACCGAATCAATTTTCATTTTTCTTTAAATGTAAACCAATTCATTTCATTAACACCCTAATCACTCAACTGTAACAAACAGGTATTAGTAAATAATTTAGTTAATAGTAGTTAGTGAAATAATTTCATTAATTATACCAGAATTATTCATTTATCAATGTAATATATCATATTCCAGTTAATTATTTAAACTAAGAATACACTAAAAGTTAAAAAAAAATCTGTACGTTTACTTTGTGGACAAGTGATGACTTCTTTAAAAATCATACCTAAGTTGATTTCTAATTTGTTGATGGTGAAAGCATAAATAGTAAACTCGCCAATTCAATAATTAAAATAGACTGATTGTATATACAGTTTGATGAGCAGATCACTTCTACACTAAGAGTTAGATTACAAGAATACAATCTAAAATACAAATTTTGGTCCTGTAAATATTACATGAGCAGTTTGAGTTATAATGTCAGATACTTCTACACTAAGAGGTTAACCATAAACATGTTTCTAGATGGATAGCTTTCCGCAAGAAACAATACGCCTTAGATTCTGCATCACAGAAGACACCTGTAATATACTGGCAGCCAAGTATGCAACTCATCTGATATAGATCACAGTCTACAACTCAGCTGATATGGATCAGTCTGCAACTCGGTTGATATGGACCATATGCTTTCGTTATCACAGGTTAATCAATTATAATGAAAAGAACAGATAGTACAAAGCAGTGAAATTCCTTTCATCACAGTCAAACCTCAATCTCTTCAGTATTAACATCAGCCAATTTTTAGCTTGTTTTTAATCATCTGATATGCATATATGCTTGTTCAAATCCAGACAATGCATTTCCCGACAATAAGATTATAATTAACTTTTTTTAATTGTACTATTTTCCTATATAGTATTAGCCACAACCCTTTATGAAAGTAACAAAATAAATTTCAGACTAAAGATTTTAGGACTTTACACCAAAGGAGACCTTTCCAGAAAATCTCAAAGGCCTGAGCTGAACCCAGACCTAAGAGGGAGTTTGGAAATAGTTTTCAACCAGCAACAGAGAAAATAGTTTTCAACCAGCAACAAACACACCTTGGTTAGAACCTCATTTGCTGTGTCATTACTCCAAGTACAAATATGTCTATTGCATATGACAATTCTTTTTAAAATGATTTCCAACAATTTCATCTATCATTTTTTGTTCATGTGAGACTAATCATCGTCAATGTTGATATCATATCACAATCCACACATATCATTTCTCTATAGATCTATGCTGGAATGTCTTCAAATTCAAAATTGGCTTAAATATGTTTTTAATCCCTCAATTGAAGATAAATTTATTTTTGGTCCCTCAAATTTAAAACTGTTATTTTTAGTTCCTGTAATTTTTAAAAATCTTGTTTTAGTCCCTTGGGTTACCAATAACATATTTAAAAGTGACTAATTAAGACGGTTATAAAATATCAATCAAATTTAATGTGATATTTTCACTAATAAAAATACTAATAGGTAGATTTTATACAATAATGTTTGATAAATTTCTTAACAAAATTTCAATATAAGGACTAAAATAAGATTTTTTAAAATTACAGGGACTAAAAACAATAATTTTAAATTTGAGGAACCAAATACAGACTTACCCTAAATTTGAGGAACTAAAAACATATTTAAGCCTTCAAAATTATATATTAGTTTATAAATTGGTGCCAAAACATACCTCTCAAAATTGAGTGAACAGAAAATATAAGAGAGAGATAAAACAGGATAGATCCCATCAAGTGTAATTCCACTGATACCGTTAAAATCCAAATTAGAATAGCACAAAATATCATTTTATTCCACTACTTTAATTCATAAACATAGCCAAAATGAGAATTTAAAAATGTAACTACCCCGAGAGGTACTCGAACATTAAACCCAATCGTGGATAACCAAAACGCAATACCACCCTATTTCACCTCATATAAAAAGTAAAACTTGCATTACAACGAAAGAAGCTAATAACTTCAAATTTGATTAGATACATTTGATAATGGTCCGCACAAGACATTTGAGAGAGAAATTGAAATTAAAACCATTACCCAATCGAAGGAACAAGCCCAAAATCTCATTTTAAATGACACAGGTCGAACAAACCGAAGCCAAAGTCGATTTTAATATTCTATCTGATTCGCAATTTGACAATAATACCATTAGTAAGCACGTGTCTGAAACACTAAAACTAAAACAATAAGCTTAAACCCTCAAAAATAGGAGACTAAACAACAATGTGAAAGGTCCATCGAGAAAAAAAAAACCCTAAATTGATTAAAATAATACCATCTGAATCAAGCGGTGAGGAGAACGGCGCCACCAGCCTCCTTGATCTTCTTCTCGGCGATCTTGGAAACGAGCTTGGCCTTGACAACGAGGGGCTGGTTGTGAGGCAAAAGGCCTTTCCCCAAAACCTTAAAGTAGCCGAACTGGGTGACGTCGATCAAGGGCGTTTTGCTGCCGTCGGTGGAGGCGCTGTCCTTGACGTGTTGGGGAACGAGGGACCAGAGCTTGTCGATGTTGAGGATGGGGCAGTGGAACTTGTTGCGGAGCTTGTGGAAGTAGCGCATGCCAACCTTTCCGAAGTAGCCGGGGTGGTACTTGTCGAAGAGGATGCGGTGGTGGTGCATGCCTCCGGCGTTTCCCCGCCCTCCGGGGTGCTTCCGGTGCTTCCCTATGCGGCCGTGTCCGGCGCTCACGTGACCCCTCTTCTTCCGGTTCTTCCTCAACCGAGTCGTCATCTTCTCTCTCTGTCTTGAGCCCTTGCTGCGGCGGAAGACAGAGGTTAGGGTTTGGGCTTTTATATGTCAACTCAAAATGCCGTTGCTCGTTTTACTGTTTTCACCCTCTTCGTGTTTGGGTTTTTGGTCATTTGCGGACCCTTTTCCTTTTGGGCACAAAACCCAGCCCAGGCCCAGAAACGAAAGACCTTTTATGTTGTATACGAGCTTCAAGTTTCTGTTTCAACGGGTCTCCTTCTTTTCCATTATATGCTATCTATCTATTATATTGAATAATATTTTTTTTTACATTTTTCTTTCTTTTTTTATTTTATTATAAAAAAATATACAAACTTATATATATATATCATCTAATACATTAATAAATATTATAGTATATGTAGTTTAAATGTATTAAAAATTATATAATTATAATATTTGAAGAAATAAATATTATTTGTTATATTTGAAGAACTAAATTTAGGGTATTATAATTATAATATTTGAAGAACTAAATTTATTGATCAAAATCGCACATTTTTTATATTCGATGATAAAAACACAATATGCTACATGAAAAAATATATATAATAAATTAGAGTTGACATTTACAATTTTTAATAAAAAAATATAATTTAATTTTGTTTTACATTAAATGTAGCGTGTGTCAGACTTTGTTGTTGTACAACACATAAGTGATACTTGAAGTTGAAGGCCAGTGACTTACATGTCAGTAAAGGGTATTATAATTGCAATGTTGTATTACAGGTGTTAAATTTTAGTTTAATTCTTAGAACTACAATAATACATGGGATTTAAAAATCGTGACTTTTTTTTTATCAATTTGTTAATGTTATATGAATAAAATAAATTCATCTTTTATTATCACAAAAAATGAACAAAATATAATTATCTTTAAATATATATATATATATATATATATATTGTTATTATTATAGTGAAATGTTTTTAACAAGCTTATATATACATATATATATATATATATATATATATATATATATATATTTCTTTTGATTAAAAAATGAATAGATAACTCCTGTCTTTTATATTTTCTAATCTTTTGGTACATTATATTTTTCTAATTCAAGATAGTACAATTTATTTTTTTTCTCAAATAATATTATATGGATATATTGTGATTAGCTATACTAACTTTTTCACGTATATCTACAATTTTTATTTAAATTATTAAATACCATTTATAATATTTTTAAAAATAATAAATTTCGGAGACTAGTTTTGGTTCACAAAAAAATGGCATCCTAACAAGTCTCTTTTCAAGTTTTTATACATTAAATGAAGCATATAAAACAGTCATTTATTAGCCTCAATAGCAGTTTTATCGTTACTATTTAGGGTTGCCAACTAGAGACAGTCACCGTAATATACAAGACTTGACTTCTGCAACAAAGAATGCATCAATAATGCACTCTTGTATTCACACCATTTATCCACAACATATTAGCAATTGTGTCTACAAGTTAGCTGAAATGAACCATATCTATTTGCTGTCACAAGACTACTATGTTGTGTGAATGAAACTCCTTTTTCTCAAAGACAAAACCACTTGTCTTCAATTAATAATAGCTACCAATTTTTATTGTTTCTTATCATCTCTTAATATATCATATTTGTCCAAACAGTGAATTTTGCTACTCAACTAAGCTTGAGAAACTACCTGCTCAAGATACTTCAAGGTTCTCTGATATTTCAGGACACCCATAAACTAGAAATCAAAATAAGTTATATGTCAAGATAACATGTTTTTACATTCTCCATGGCTAGGCATTAGGCGAGCTGACAGCATGTGTTTACATGCTGATGTGAGACAAAACAGTCTCTTGCCTTTCTCAAAGGAAAAGAAGAACTTTTCCTAGATATGTCTTTATTTTGTTTTCATGTAATTGACTCATGATTGAAGAAATTGAGATCAACAACAACTGAATCCATTGCATTTATACTTGTGTTTATAGAAAATGGATCATTTGTCAACAGGAAACAATTTCATGTTGAGGCAGAGAGAGCATTCCCAAAGCCTATCTTGATCATTGGAATTTAGATCGAACAAAAATAAACTAAATTGAAGTGCACGCCCTGATATTGACATTGTTTCTATTATCTATTCATAAATTGGATATAATAAACCTTTAAGATGTTAGAATTATTTTGATTATCTGTACACTCAATGTCTTAAAAAATTTAGTAAGGTAATGAAGTTTTTTAAATCTTATGAATTGAAAAAACTGAAGACAGACATTGATAATTGACAGACATTGATAATTGAAGTTTTGAAGTTTGTTAGTGTTTAGTTACAGAGACGTGAGTTTGACAAAAAGATTTTGTGGAATAGAAAATTGTTAATTCATTCTCACATCATCCCCATGCAAGTAAAGCTGATGATAAAGTTCCTTCATCACTTTCTGTATTAGTATTGAAAGAGAAAACACTGCAAAAAGATTTACTGTAATAAGAAGTTATCAACTATACTAGTTTAAGAAAACAGTCAGAAAACATAATATAAATTTTTGATGTCAGATTGCCACATTTTAAGTGTACAGTTTGTTGAGTCCACAAGCTAGAACATCAATTGTTAGGAAACTCTAACGTGTAGCATAAAATAAAATTAGATAATAAATTCTCACATGTACCATGAAAAAAATTTGGATTAAAAATTGCAGGGCTTTACCCCGAAGGGAGCCCTTCCAGAAATTCTCAATGGCCTGAGCCAAACCCAGGCCAAAGAGGGAGTTTGGAAATAGTTTTCAACCAGCAATAGACGCGCCTCGGTTAGAACCTCACTAGCTGCGTCATTGCCCCAAGCGCAAAGATACTTTACTGTTGCGTACAACATCTCATTTTATTACAGCTTCGGTCAGTCTCAATTATTATTTTAGTCCATGTGGAACATCAGCCAACACTCCAGTAAGCTTAACCCAATTATAAGGAGGAGCATTACAAGCTATTATAAGGTTGTACACACTTGAAATTCATTCATTGATTAATTCACGATTCATATTTGATACATATATAGGCCTCCAAAAAAGTAACAGTAATCGAAATTGAATAGAAACACAAAGGATTGATGGAAAGAAATTACAACTCATACAGCGAGTGAGATATCACCCAACTCAAGCTGAGCAGCAATGTCTTCAAGCTGCTTCCTGACGCTCATGTCAATCAACTTGGAGCCGGAATTCCCATACCTGACAGTGAAACCCGCGACCAAAGCGGGGTCAAGGAGGGTCTTAATCCTGACGTTTTTGGCCCCAGTGAGCTTCTGAACCTGTTTCGCAATCTGCGCCAAGTGCTGCGACTCCAACTTCACCACGGAGGTGACCACGGCAAGCTCGGTGTCGGTCAAGGCGTTGTAGACCAACTCGAACTCCTTGGCGATCTCGTTAATGAGATCGATCCTCTGGGCATCGACCAAGATGTAGAGGAAGTTCCTGGTGTGGGGTTGGAACCCTGAAGACTCTGCAATCTCGTCCACCAGCTTCCGCTTCTGCTCCACAGCCAGTGTGGGGTCCGCGAAGTAGTCCGACACCTTGGGGTCCGCGAAGATTTCGTCGATTTTCTCGATGTCCGAGGTGGTCGCATCGAGGGTGTTGTTGGAGAACGCCACGTCCGCAAGGGCAGCCGCATAGCTGGAGGCGGCGGTGGCGGACATTCTGGCCCCGGAGGCGCCCTGGGAGCGGCGGGTGGCGGATAAGGAAAAGGAGGCGAATTTGAGCTTGAGAGGAGTGAAGGTGGTGCCGGGGAGGGAGATGTTGAGGATGGGTTTCTGGGCGAGGCTGTTTCGGGGGATTAGGGCGTGTTTGGATTGGAGAGAAGCCGTTGGGTGCTGCAACGACGCCATTTGTTGCGCTTGTGAACTCAAAGTGAGGGTGTTTTTGTTGTGTTGTCTCTTTTGATTTTCTTTTCTGTTCCGTTGGTGTTAGTTAACCAAGAGGCTGTGAATGTGATTCAAAGGAAGGATTGAGAGGATCACCGTGGCCTCTTATCTCAGGGATAAGATAAGATAATAAGCTTTCCCTGAACACGTGGAAGTCTATGTGTGGAAGGAAGATTCTTTTGGTTTTGTTTTGGATTTTTATACTTTCAGAAAATAATATTCGGACTAGAAAATTAAAGACATGGCCACCACTGAAATGAGGATTGGACCAAGTTTAATGTCAATTTTACCAAAGAGATAAGAAATTAGTTGAATGTGTTACGAGGGTAAGATGAAGTACAAACTCTGGTTCTGGTAAAATACAATGAAGTAAAATCTCTTTTATCAGGACAAAGCTCAAGATATTCAATGACAGCCGCCAATTTTTAGTTTATTGATTATCTTTTGTATGTGTTTGTCCTGACAACATGATGCTTAAAGCAGAATCAGTTGATTTTGCTACCCATTTAAGTTTGACAGCATGAATCTTTGAATTCAGAATTTCAGATGGTGAGTTTCGCTACGAGTTACTGTCAGCTCAAGATAGTTGAAAGTTTTCTGATATTGTAACTCATAAGACACCATGAACCAGAAATCTAAACTATCCACTATGACTGTTTATTTTTTATGTACTTCTGTGTTGGCTGCTCAACATTTTCACTTCAGTTCATGCACTTGATCTTCTTCAGTGGAATAACAACCTTAATAGTTTTATAAATCAGGATAAAATTCTAAATAAACATTTATAAGATAATAAAAAAATGAGATAAAAATGAATAAGACATCTTTAAGTTAGATCAACTTATGCATCCCAATTATCCAACTTTTAAAGAAGTTAGATGGGTGAGATTCTAAAAAATTTGAGCTGCCAAGAGCTTTCCATCAATCCCTAAGTTATTGAAAGTTCTTCATGGATTTAGTCTCATTTTTTTTCTGTTTTACATTTGCTTCTTGGATTTTCTAGGTTATGATCAAAATGAATGCTTTTAATACCTCATTTTATTTAGGCTGTTTAGTGATTTTTTTGACTAGCTATCACTTTCTTTATTGGTTTTCAATGAAAAGGAGAAGTTAAAAAAAGAAGTTTTACCATGTTTCTTGTGAGACTGCTAGAAGTTTTGTTTGTAAGTATTTTGATATATTAATTTTTTATGATGAACTACAAATAAAGAAATTTTGTTGTCTTGTCTAGTATTTATTTGGGACATCAAGAGATGCTATTAATACTTCAAATCAGACATAAGAGTTATTGTATAAAAGATGTACTACAAACAAAAAATATAAAAACATGCTGTTTTTTTTTCTACCGTATCAGAAACAGTCTTCTTAACAAAATAGATAAAAATAAAAAATAAAAAATAAAACATTATCTAAAACATTATTCAGGTTTTAATTATGCATCAAATCATTAAAATGATAGCAATTGTTTTATGTAACATTAAGCCTCGTAGAGTGTTCCATTAGAATTTATAAAAGATCTAAATATAATTAAAATGTATATCAGGTACCTGCCATAGTGCAACACTTAATAAGATGTGCAAACCTATATCTAATTATCTAATTATTAAAACAAGTGACAGTACAACACATCACGTACTAGAACCTGTCAGGCCCATATGTAATTATTAAATTACAAATTAAAAACATATTGAACTGAATAGTAGGGTGTGCCAGGCCCATGTTGTAGTGCAACACATAGGCAACACTTGAAGGACCCAGTAGCAAGCTACTGTAGTGGACCATCCCCTTCAAAAAATAAATTTAATATCGTGTGAATCAATGACTCACATATCAGATATTAAACTGATAAGAACAGATACTACACTTGATCTTAGCCAAAAGGCCGAGAAAGGTATGATTTGGAAATGGCTGAAATGTGTAATTTATAATGAAATACTAAGAGGTTGTTTTCACTTCTAACATATGTGGGACTTAGATCACGAGTAGTTCAACAACATCACATAATAACCTGTCTAACTTGCAAGTGTTGTTCTTATTCAGACGATGGGTGCATGATAACTAACTGAAATAAGTAAAAAGCTCCCCAGCCGTTAATGAAAATAGACTTTCTGTTAATTACTTAAACTAATTAACACAAAACTTGACTAAAAATTTAGTTGGTATGATACAATACAAGCTGAATTGCAAATCCTGGTTCTGGCTAAAATTTACATAATAAATTAATGCTTAATTGAACCTGAAACATGTACATGATTGAGGTAGTTGACAATTTTATTCCCTCTTTTTCCATGCATTTTTCCTTCTTCTACGGTAACATTCTTTCTAATATAGGTCTGTCTCTGGGTGGGTGGATGGATACCTTCCATAAAAGTAGTCTGGTCCTTGGTACTGTCAGCCAGTTAGCCACAAAATACATTTAGCTTGCATTCTGTAACAAATCAGGCACCAAATTGTGAACTCTTGCATTCACAGAATAATATGGTTGTAGCGGCCAATACAAGTCAGCTGATATGAACCACGTTGAATTGCTATCACAGGTCATATGTCATGTCCAGTAACATGGATATATAGAGTGAAGTATAATCCGTTTTATCAAAGACAAAGCTCAATCCGTTGCCAATTTTTAGTTAGTTGAATGTCTTTTGTATCTGTTTGTCCTGATAACATGAAACTTAGAGCACAATCTGTTGATTTCACTACTTATCTAAGCTTTGATGTCATGAATTTTTGAATTCAAATGGTGTATTTGACTATCCAACTAAGCTTGAGAAACTGCCTGTTCAAGATATTTGAAAGTTTTCTGATATTGTAAGGCACCCATGAACCAGAAAACAAAACTATCCACTGTGAGTCTGTGACTATCTTTATGTACTTCTGTGTTGTCTTCTGAACATTTTCACTTTGATTCACGCACATGATTTTCTTCAGTAGAATAACAACCTGTACATAAACATTCATACCTTTCAGAACTTCAACAAATCTTGGATCAAGAGAATCCAAGAAATATGAATAGTTTTATAAGTCAGGATAAGTTCTCAACAAACATTTATAGGATAAGAAAATATGAGATAAAATGAATAAAACTTATGTCAACTTATGCTTCTCAAAAATCCAACTTTTGAAGAATTTAGATGGGTGAGATTCTAAAAAATTTGAGTTGTATAAATTGATTTAACTTGAAGAAGATATTTAATTTATCTTACCTTCTTATTCTTTTCTCCTATAAATACTTGTTAAGAAGTATATCTCAAATGTACATATTTATATATTACTTTGTGACTGACCTTGTAGTGGATCCTCAACATGTGGCCTTTCTGAGTAAAGACTTTCCTTGATCTCTCACTGTAGAATGTAACCTTGTCAGTGAAGATAAAGAGGAAACCTGCTAGGGAACCAGATGTGGTAGACAAATGACACTGAGAAACTTTCCACTCCACTCCACTCATTCGAAGAATGCGAGCCCCTAAACTTAACTTTTTTCTCTCGACTGTTTCAGATATATTTGTCCCTAGTCTCACTGCAATTTCAGCGTAATATAAATAGAATTAGATCCATTCACCAAGCTTAGCAATTTCAGGTATACATGAAAAGTCTATAAAGTTAGATGTTTGTCTCTAAAGGAAAATAAAATTTTACTTTGCTTTAGTGTTGTGAACGAATATAGGCATTGAGTGGCAGGACCAGGTAAGTATCTGTTAACTGACTTTTGAAACTGATTATATGTTGCTGAGATGACTGGAGTTCCAACAACTAGCTCTTGAAAAGGAGAGGTCTGTATGATTGATGATTAATAAAGTTTCAGTTTAATTGAAAGGATTAGCAGAAGTTGAAGAGGAATGGTCTGAACTATGATCACTTGGGTTGATCAGTCCCTTGCCAAAGAGGTATTTAAAGGGATAAAAACTAGGAAGTGACTATTGACCCTTTGGTGAGATGACTCAACCTTGGATCATCAACCATGATCATATTTGTTATAAAGACACTGACATGGCAACTTGAAGTAAAGTTATTCAAGATAATTATTTGAGGTCATGGATTATTTGGCCGCTGTTAGAGAAAAGATGGTATCGAAATATTCAAGTCAACTTTTCAAAAATTTTAAAATTCTTGAAAGGTTTATATATCTTCAGAAACAAGGCTCCATGGTGATTGATGGGAGTAAGGAAATAGTTAAAGTTAGAACTAGGGATGTGTCAAGACAGTACATGCGCAACATGTGACGTAGGATACAACACAATCTCTTGCCTTTCTCAAGGAAAAGGGGAGCATTCCCAATATATAGATGCCGCTTTATCTTGTTTTCGAGTGATTCACTCGTTATTGAAGAAATAGACATCAGCAGCAACTCAAAGCATTGTATTTATACTATTTTGGTTAGAAAAAAAAATTATAAATCATTTTCATGTTAATTTTTTTTCCTTGCAGCTCTGAGAATGGGATACTTGTCATGAGCCATTAACCAACAATAATCCTTAACCAAAGGCTAATTTTTGTTGAGGCAAAGAAATTACCACCAAAGTCTATGCATAACTAGATAAAATAATAGACTCCCTCCATATTTTACAAATTTCTAAGTTGAATAATTAATAAAAAGATGTCAAGAAGCATTAAAAATATATGTCATCAAGAATGCCTTGAGAATTGAAGGAATGAAACTTTAAGTTGTATGAATAGAAACTAAACTGAAGCACAGACAACATTAAGGAAGCCATCAGTGCTCTTAGTTGGTTCTAATTATGATAATGAAAATCATAAAGTGAGCTTGCTGACAGGGATTTTAAAGGTTTTGTGAAAAAGAAAATTGCCAAATCATTACCATATCATCCTCATGCCTCACACGTAAAGCTGATGGTAAAAGTTCATTCTTCATCACTTTCTGCTTGAGTTTTGATTCTTTGAAAGAGAAAACAACATGTTAGTGTTACTACTACTACTATAACAGTCCACATTTCTTGACATCAATTTCTTTTCTTTTTTTTTTTCATACATTTTTGTTAGTTGTGCATGTTGTCAAGTGGCAAGGAAGAAACAAAATCTGATCCTATGAGTTGTAAAGTGGGTAACAATAAATGGTTTACAGGTATAGGAAGTTATCAACTTATCACTGACACTTTAACACCCGTATTAGACTATTAGTTATTATCTTCAGTTCAACAAAAAAAAAAGTAATTATCTTTCCATGAAGTTTACTTTAATACCCAAGAAACTCTATCACCAGCCGCTGTTGACCTATTGGGCCTGGCAGAATAGTACTTGGGCCTTGAAAACTTGTACGTTCAGTTAAAAGAGAGATAGAGGACATGGTAACTACAACGTTGAGTTGTCTTTACCCCAACTCTCATGAGGTGATGAAATTGTTAAAAAGTTCAGAAGTCACATTGTCACAATCACAAAAATAAAATAGTAAACTGTAAATTTGGTTCATTAAGTGTTACTCTTTTTTTAAAATAACTTTAAAAGTAATGAAATTGTATAAATAATTTTTTAAATATTAAAAATTTATTAATTTAGCTCATAAATTAATATATTTTTATATAATTTAGTCCCAATTTTTTATTAGTTTTGGTACATCAACCCCTACATGTGAAAATACTAATCATTATCATGTGCAAAATTGTTTATAGGAACTTTTCTTTAACAAAGAGCTTGTATGAATTCTTTTAATTATTTATCTAATTTAATTTTTATTTATTATAATCATTTATAAATTAAATATTATTTATACCAAATAGGTCATTTGTCCACTAGAAACTAATAAATCCAATACTCTTTCTATGTTCTTGACAATCAAAGAACCCTCACCGGCATGTGATTACCCCCTTTGACACCTTCGATAGCCGAAGGCATGACACATATAAAACCTTAACTACTTGTGTTGGCATCACTAGTAGCCGAATGAAATGTTTGTGCAAACTCAACTCCTCGGAACTTCGACAGAGTCACACTAGCAAGTTCGTCTCCCTCTGTGCTCTTAGCAGCCTAAGGGCTCACTAGCAAGTTCAACCTCCTTGACATCCATGTTAGTTGAAGGGTTCACGACAGACAAGTTAAAACCCCTCAACACTCTCAATGATCGAAAGGTTCACGCAAAGCTCACCTTGTCGATAGCTTATAAGGTCAAACGAAACATAGAAATCTTTAGCTTAAATTATGATGGCCAAGGTAATTAAGATTTAACCATTGGTACACAATTAGTTGTCGACATATTACCTAATTAGTAACCTTAACTTACAACCCATTAAAATTTAGACCATTATGGTTAGTATAAATAAATTTGTATCTTGTGATAAAAGTTAATGTTCATCACTGCCATTTAACACACCAGGTGAATAACTTACTTGAGCGTCAATCGAAGTGTCTTTGCAAGTGCACCCCCTTAGTGTAGACAAGTGATAAGATTAGAGAGTGAAATGAAGTGAAGACATCAACGAGACAAGAAGAAAGATATCTTGGTGTAGGTACATTATTATTTTTAAATAAACTATCAATAAATAAAAATAATTTTATACTACAATATAAATTATTTATCATAAATTTAAAATATAACTTATGTGTTTAAAAATATTTATTTATACAAATTTTAAATATAAATTATATATTCATACATAATATTTATTTCACTACAACACACTACTTTTAATGACATTTATACACAAATGGGTAACATTTTTCAAATGTTATCAAACTAATATTTTTGTGACATTTTAATGATATTGCTTAGCTTATTTTTATGTCTTCTAAACTTCTAGGGGTTCTGTAAGAGAAGGTTGAAGACACTCTTAATTAGTCACTACTAATTATATATTAGATATCAAAATTTAATTATCTCAAAGATAATTATATGATTACATATACTCTTTATGAATCATTTACTTATTCAACGTGAGACTTTAATTACGAGTAACAATTAAAGATAAAAGAAATGTACTTTTTATTATTGAATATGCAACTTTGATTTTAGAAACAATTAAAAAGAATAATGCTAAGATGAAAAATGTTACTTATCTATAATAGTATTTTAAAAAAATGTTGCAAAATAACCTGTGACATTTTTTTATTCGATATGAGATTTTGATTTTAGAAACAGTTATTAGAAGGAATAATTTATAATAACATTAAAAAAAATAAACATTACAACAAAACCTATTTATTTAATATATATAATCATTTTAATAAATATAAGAAAAAAATATTATTAAAGAATTAAAATGTAGCAATATTTATACATATATTTTTCAAATTTTATAACTTTAATTATATAATTTGTATTATACAAGTTAAAATATTAATTAGTAATATACACTAAAATATTTAGACAAAAAATTATTTTAGTAATCTAATGTTTGATTTAGAAAAATCTCTCTTCCACTGCCTCTCTTTCCCAAACTCTATGTACCACACTCGTGAACTAATTATGCAACTGAAAACACTAGTTTTTCTCTCCTTTATCGTTAATTTTAAAAGTCACATCATTGATGTGATTATTTTAGAGTGTAAAATTGTTATAAATTATCAGTTCATAATTATTAAAAACTTTTAAGAAAAAATAATAAGCTTTACATTAACATATAAAATAGCATTGCTAACATAACTCGCTCAGTTACAAATCACATTATTATATTTGCTGAATTTCTTTACTTTTGTAATTATACTTGTATGTAAAAGGAATTCATTTTTTTTGTGTATATTTTATTTTAAACAATTTTAACCTTTTAAAAAGATACAATAATAATTAACAAAAGTAAAAAAATCTTTTGATATATTATTTTTTAAAAATCTTTTAATAATTACCCATTAGCTCTACTAACTGTATATGTATTAAAAAAAGACACAAAAATATCTTTTATCCACTAATAATAATATACATAGTTTTAAAAATCGGACCGGTCATCGAACCGGTTAAGGTACTGGGTCAGTGGGTCAAAGGTTAAACCGGTGGGTCATTAGTTGAACCGCATGACTCGATTTTTATTAAAAAAATATTCATATTAAATATATTTTATACTTATAAATTTTAATAAATTCATATCTTATTTTAAATTTCAATTTTTCTATCTTATTTAAAATTATTTTTATTTTTATTTTGTAAAAAAATACATAAAAAATTACATGTTAAACGGTATATTAATACAAATTAAAAATATAAATAATATGTACATATATAATATGCTAGCAATTAATATCACAAAATAATATATGTAATATTTACATAGATATTATATTATTAAATATATAATTTAAAATTAATAATATACGATAAAAGTTATTTAAGTTGTATATATTGCAAAAAAAAAATATTAGAACAAGTAGTCATTGTTATATTTAATAAGACTCCTTGCTTTTCCATTAAGAGATTCAATTTTCATTATTATTTTTGTGGTTTATGGTCCCTTAAAAAAATTTAAAAAAAGAAAAAGAAAAAAGTGGTTAAACCGGTTTGACCCATCGTTTCACCGGTTGAACCGAAAAATTGACCGGTTCAATCCGTTTTGAAACGGGTCGACTGCATAACCGATCCAACTTAAGATTCGGACCGGCTGGACCACCGGTTTCCGGTTCAACCGGCCCGACCGGCCGGTTCGGTCCGGTTTTTAAATCACTGATAATATATATATCCCATCATCAATGTGATTAATTGGCATTATATAACTATTTTATATTATTAGTACATAATTATTAATTTTTATTTTTAAATGAACGATAACATTAATTTATATTCAGTTAAATTCAAAAATCATAACAATTTCAACTTATTAATTTGTTTTAAGAATAGCAGTCCTAAAGAAAGGGGGCTTCGTGTGGATTTTAATTTCTTATATTTTTGCAGGCAAATGTTACCTTAATCATCGTCGATCCATACCTTCTAACAAATATTAAACATCTTCGAATTGACACGCAAATATTAAAAAGTATATCAAATATCAAATCATTAAAATTTAAGGTTCTTGGGCTGGTCTAGCCCATAAGGTTCTATGGAGTTTTTGGCAATACAGACCTCAACATGTATTTGTTATGATAGCTTGTGTGGTTATTTAAGTGTATGTGATATTTATTGGGAGTGAGAAGTTGACACAAGAAACTTATGGTAAATTATAAAAGAAGAAAAATTAAAATTCAAAAAAAAAAATGGAGGAGATGATTATATGATAATAAAAAAAAATAGTTCAAATTTTATTTAGCCAAAAACGTAATATTCTTTTATTATGGGTAAATACAAAGTATACGTTAAGTATTAGGAATAAAATAAATATAAAATGAGTAAAATAATTATGAACACTTTGTTTTATTATTTATTAAGAATCATTAAAACAGAAGTATAGTATAGATTTATTATTAACATCAGTATTGGTAGAGATTATCAAATGAGAGACAGGAGACTCAGTGCTTCTGCAAAATACCCTAGTTTAGTTAGGAGCAAGACAAGAGAGTCTGAGTTAACCCCATAACGCAGTTAAACCAGTTAATTAGGAAAAAATGCGATTTAAAAATGGGATAAAAGCGATCGCCACGAGTTGAATTGAAAAGAGTCAGATCAGAATCAGATCCGGTGGCATTTTGTGATGGCCAGAGCGTCCATATTCATTTACATACTCGTGGCGGCGGTGGTGCTCCTCTTCCTCTCCCATTCTCCGATAAAGCACTCCGGCCACCGTCACCGCCGCCTCAAGCTCCGCTCCAACTTCACTCTCGGCCCCTCGCGCCACCACGCGGTGGCCTTCGACCCTCTGGTGGCGGAGCTGGAGCGGCACCGCGAGGACAAGGAATGGGAGAAGAAGGTCATCCATCAGGCCCATCCGGAACTGGACCCGGACCCGGCCCCGGCCCACGAGTCCCAGCCCGAGTGGGAGGACTTCATGGACGCGGAGGATTACCTGAACGACGAGGACAAGTTTAATGTGACCAACCGCTTGATTCTGCTCTTCCCCAAGATCGATGTGGACCCCACCGATTGGTTCGTCACCGAGCACGAGTTGACTCAGTGGAACCTCCAGCAGGCCCAGCGCGAGGTCCTGCACCGCACGCAGAGGGAGATGGAGCTCCACGATAAGAACCACGATGGCTTCGTTTCCTTCTCCGAGTACGATCCTCCCAGTTGGGTTCAAAATGCAGGCAGCTCCCCTTTTCCAACTTCGTTTCTCTTAGATCTCTTTCTTTCTTTCTATAATTCTCTCTAGTTTTGCAAATGTATTTGATCACTGATTTCTGAGCTGCTACATTGGGTTTTGACTGTTGTGGTTTTGTTTTTTGTCAGATAATGAGTCTTTCGGCTATGATATGGGTTGGTGGAAAGAAGAGCATTTCAATGCATCCGATGCTGATGGAGATGGTCTTCTCAACTTAACTGAATTCAATGAGTGAGACCTCTATCTACTACTTGTTTGGAAATGTTGTTGTCTACTTGATGATCCCTTTCACTCTTTGCTAATGTTTTTCCAATGTCCTGTAGCTTTCTGCACCCGGCTGACAGCAAAAACCCTAAGCTTCATCAATGGTTGTGCAAGGAGGAAGTCAGGTAACTCAAATATCAGAAACAGTCTATGAAGGCTTAATATATCAGTCTTGATATTACTGGGTTATGTTTTAGGTATTGGGAGTGGAAATTGAGTGATTAGAGAATTTAAATGATTTTTCTAGTGAATTGTGAATTTTTGATGACTTACAGTGTGATACAAAACATAAAGCTAATGCTAGATCATAATCTTAACTACTTAAGGAAACAAATAATGAGATAATAAAGAAATATAGAAACCAATCCTCTAAGATACTCAATATCATTCCAAGACACAATCAAGATAGTCTTGGGTATATAATAAATTAAGTTGTATGCAAACAAAAACTAAGTTGTATAAAATTGGCATAATATTGATTTCAATGTTCAATTGTTTATGAAAAACTAAAAAGAAGTTAAACATAAATGACAAAATATCTATTCATTCTCCTCTGCCTACAAGAAGCTAATGGTGTTCCAAATAACTCTTATTTACTATTTGCTTTTTTCTAGCTTTAATAGGGAAACTTCCATTAAGCAGCAATGCTGGTGGAGATTGGGATTTATGAGTGTTTGCTTCAGAAATATGCAGTCTTGACTTTTTTCTACCATAAGTAATTAAGTATACCTGACATGATTTTCCTTAGCCTTCCTCTTGTTCCCAAACCACCCGTAGCCTAATATATCCTGAGTAACTCCCGAAGCCATCTTTAATCTTGTATAAGCGTAACTCGTGCAATGAAGACTTGATTTCTTGTGGCCAGCCAAATCCATGCAATCTATTAGGATTGGAGTTGAATGTTTCAATCTTTTGTTAAGCTATGCCAGATGATGGCTTGTAAGTGATGGATGTATGTTGGTTTGTTCTTAAAAATGAAATTTTCCTTGCAGTCATTTGCCGCCTCTAGCAAATGCTTCAATATTTGTATAGTTTTTTTTATTGTTCAAAAAACTGGACCAGTCAATACAACGGTCCAGTCATGAACTGGTCGGTTACCTGTTCATTAGCTCCAATAAACCAGAGCATCTCAAAATCACTGAGAACCAGTAAAGTACCAGTCCAAACTGGTGAAAAACCAGTGCAGAAAACCAATTTGAACCGGTATTTTTCTATATTTTCTAATATATATTTTATTTTTTGAAATTCAATCTAAAACATTTTTTAGATAAGTTAATCTAAAATATTTGTCAATTATTAGCTTTTATCTTATAAAACATGTAATTTAAAAAACATTGGTTTTTTCGCTGACTATTTTGCCATATCTCAGAAATGGGGACAATATTTGTAGTTAATTTTATTGTCTGAACTCTGGAGTGAATCAAAATCTTCAGTTTATATGCAAATATCACCGACTTGGCTAACTATTGTTTGATTTACCCATTGTTTCTTCACAGGGAAAGAGATACAGATAGAGATGGGAAGGTTAACTTTAAAGAATTTTTCCATGGGCTGTTTGATTTGGTAAGAAACTATGATGAAGAAAATCACAATGATTCTCATCATTCTGATAATTCAATGGATGCTCCAGCTAGAGTGTTGTTTTCTCAGCTTGACAAGGATGGGGATGGGTATTCACCTTTTCTATTTCTATCATTAGTCTGTTTTCTTTGAATCATTACAGCAACTCCTAATAGAATACTATCTTTTGATTTTGGGTTATCAACCTGGTCTTTGCAGATTCTTGTCAGATGTTGAACTAATGCCCATAATTGGGAAACTCCATCCATCTGAGCATTATTATGCAAAGCAACAAGCAGATTATATCATTTCACAGGTATTGTATTGGAAGGGGCACCGAAAGAATGCTCTTACAATAATTACACTCTTATTGTTGACAAATGTGCCAAATCTTTATTGCAAAGTCATCTGATCATGCAAATAAAAATTTACTCAATTGATACTGGTTTAACATGGATTAGGATTACATATATAACTATTTTGTGTAAATATTTTGTGCTTAGATAGGAACCCAGGTATTAGATTATATAAAAGTTGGAATAATTCTCAATTACTATAACAAGGTTCACAACCAGACTCTCCATTGCTGTCAGCAAACAAAAGCTAACCAAAAAAACGAACATACAAAAATGTAATATATATATTGCAAAGGTCATTCAGCAGACCTGTAGCCTCCTAAACAATCGCACACTCAAACTCAATCCTTGATTGTTTCCTCCTTTATCCCTCATCCACTTTTATTCCTCTTTTTGCTTTAAAACTTCTTAACTGATTTTTCTTTTTTCCTCATGATTCTCCTGCCATGTAAGCAGGTGATTACAGTTAGAATCGCCTTGCTAACTCACGTCTCACAATTCCCTTGATTCTGTGCTATGCGAGCTTCTCCTTCTACTTTGCACCCTAGTAATACTAATGGGTGACTAGCTATTAACTTCCCTTGCAAAAGTGCATTGAGACAAAAGTCTGAAATAAATATTGCTAGATATTTTCAGACTTTCGGTACACAAAATATCAGAAAGTAATAAGGTCATAGTTGATAAAGCTGATATATTTTCTTTAGCTTGATAGTTCTGAGGGCAATTCTTCATCTGCTCTATATTTATGGTATGTATCGGTGATAGCTTGCTGGTTGTGGTTGCTGCTTCTTAATCACCAAAGATTCTCTCTCTCTCTCTCTCTCTTTTTTTTTTTAATAAAGATTTTAGCTTGTACTTGATAATTGTAGTTTCTATTTGATCTCTTTAAAATCTAAATCATTCATTAATGAGTTCCCTTTTAGAATGAGAATATTTAAAATTTGTTTTGTTTGCAATTCTTATTGCTGTCTGCTTGTTTTCATTATTATTATAGCTTCTTGGAGGACTTCATTGTTAAGTAAATCAATTTTATTATCCATTTTTCCTCTTTACTCTGCAGTTTTAGTTGTTGAAAAGGCGCATTTGGTTATGGTTAAATAAAGTCTTGTTTCTGATATGCTAAGTGCATAGATCACTACAGCCAGAATTTTCTCCACTCCTTGCTGCTACGAAAACTTGTTTTAATAAATATATATACTGGTTCAAGAGAGAGCAAGTGAAAGGACTTTTTTCTCCCATTTGGTGGGAGAGCTGGGGTGCATGACTTCTTTATTATATGTTAGCCATCTTTCCCTTCTATACTGAATTAGGAGGGAGGAAGGGAATGGTTTTCTTTTCTTTGGTGGGGGAGCTGAGGTGCATATCTTCTATTTAACAATCTGGCTTTTGAAGCATTATATGTTAACCTATCTTTGTGCTTTTTACTTGAGGGGTTATATTCATCGTGCTTAATTTACATGTTAAGATCTTTCGACTGATTAAATTTTCTTGACGATGGCCTCAGCAATGCACTCTTTCATCTGTTGTGTCACATCTCAATAAACTTTGTAATAATGCTATAAGTAACAGTTACTGAGAAAGATGGCTCAATACACACTCCCAACACTTGTTGCATAACATCATGCATTTATTTCATTGGTAACCTTTGTCTGAAAGTCATGAAATAATGTTATGACAGGCAGACGAGGACAAGGATGGCCGCCTTAGTTTGACTGAGATGATAGAGAACCCGTACGTATTTTATAGTGCTATTTTCAATGACGATGAAGATGATGATGGTGATTACCATGATGAGTTCCGGTAAATTCATGTTAGGTAAAGGCAACTCTTCCGTTCCCTCCCTGTTTATTATTTTTTCTTACCAACATTTAGTGAATATTTTCTCTATAAAGGATTATAATCATCGATTGCAGGATACGAAGAAAAGTTTCTCTATAATGTTTTAGTGACAAGGAATCAGTATTTGAAGATAATTACACGACAGAATTTTGATGTTTCGGCCCTTAGTAGGTTCCTAGTCTCTATCCTGGTGGGTTTTTTGTACGATGGCGACATTTATTGCTTCTTTCCATTCATATTATCTGCGAGTTCTTATTTGCTGATAGGATCCACCGTGGCTTGTCGTATAGTCACACATCTGGATCAGTTGGAGGATGATAGGATCACAACTTCATTGTATAATTTGTAGAATAATATACAATTTTTCAAATCACTGATTCAGCCATTATTAATTAAGTAGAACATCTCAATTCTCAATGGATAATACATGTACCATATTACTATAATGACCGTTATGATCCTAGTAGCACTGTTAAAATAATTTTGGACCCAAGTATCAACCATGCTGTGTTCCACAAAACTGTTAAAATAATTTTGGACCCAAGTATCAACCATGCTGTGTTCCACAAAACGTGAATAAAAAGGTCAACAGTTTTGGGTTTTTCGATATAAAAGACTATGGTAACTGAGTAAAGCTCTATTTCATTTTGTGATCAATTTGGTCTCTTACAATTTTTCTATTAATTTGATATCTCAAAATATAATGATTAAGTACCTTTTCTTTAAATAGTGAAAGTGTTTTATGTTTTTTATTTTAATGAGGACAGTAAAAAAAATTATATTCAAGAGTTTTAAGGATTAAATTGAAACAATTAATGATTTCTTGATATTGATTGTACCTTCTTTTTAAAATACAAAAACGTTTGAAATAAAAGACATGTTAAGCAAATTTCAGTAAAACTAAATTATTTTTCTAATACAAAATCATAAATAAAAAAGAGAGTAGTTTTTCATAATTTCTTATTATAAAATTTTGAAAAAATTGTAAAGAAGACCAGGGTTTAAAATTTCAAAGACAACCTTTATTATAAAGTAATAGCTTACATGGATTGAGGAGACCGCGGCTGGTGTCTCGAATTTAAGTAGATCACATCCCCTGTAAGAAGGTGAACCGTGAATTGATGTCCCTGCTCTGCTACAACCAAAGACAAGCCTCCCTTCGATAACTCGGCTACCAATAATCCCACTTGAAAAATAGCTAGACTAATTTCTTATGTTCAAAATACATTGCTATTACAGGTTTATTTTTAAGTTTCCAAATTAATTCTTTCATGCTACACAACTAGCTTCCCGAGTTCATTAAACAGCTGTTACGATATGTTATTCATTTTTTTTCCTTACACGTAATTGCTCAAAAGGTCGTTATGATCATATGCTTAAATAGATCTTTAGTATTCATTACCGTAAAGTACTACACCTAATTACGTAGTTAGTTTATCTTGACATTCAGTTTATAGTCCTTTTGTCACGGCTAATATAAGTGAGATTTCTTGCAAAATTTTTAATAAATTAATATAAGCCCAACAACCTAGTTGCATGGCATGTTAAAAAAACTAATAAGAAAATGACATGCGGACATCCAGGTGTTAATCGACACTTGAAAAGAAAGCGATAGGAGAGGGACAAATATAGATGTGATTGATAATAATATGATCTTCAGTCTTCAATACATTGCTAGCAAACTATTTCTTTTTTAAGAATAAACGACAAAATAGCTTAGGCGATAATACTAAACTGACGGGGTTATTATCTGATGGAATATTTTATGAGTGTTATTTTTATAATTTTATTACAAACATACTTCACAATGATGAGATGAGATATTGTCCGCTTTGGGACTTAGCCCTCACGGTTTTACTTTTGGTCATCACGCAAAAAGCCTCTCAATCATTGAAGTATGTTTGTATTATATAAATTGTTATTTGTTGTATTATTTTATGAACGTGAGACTTGTTTGAACATAAATTCATAAAATTTGTCCGGTACCATTACAAGTGTGTGCTTGAAAGAGTACCTACTCAGAAGCATATATCAGCTATAGTCAACTTCAAAATTAACACTAGCATTAAGCCTTCTATGACATGTCAGAATTCGAAACCGTCCACGTCAGTCTAAATAATTCTATTTGAAAATAAACAATTCAAGCTCAAGATAAAAGGGGTGCCACGTGTTGTTGGATCCCCTATAAGAAGGTGCACCATGATGTCCTGCTACCACCAAAGACAAAACACCCTTTTGTTTATATATATGTATGCTTCTGTTTAATTCTCCATTCATTCCATGCACCTGAGAAAGCTACCAAGTACCAACGTCCTTTTCTCTTTGTAAACCCAGTGGAGCTGGAATTGTCTGTATCCAGTTCAAAAATTCCGTATCATCAAAGGAAACAATAAGTTCCCCCCCTCTATATTTAACACTCTTCCATCCTTGCCACCTTGTGCATGCTTTTAAGCTAAACGTTGCATAACTGAAACTTCTATATAAGGGTTATCTTACTCAAATTATATTATTATAGCTGGTTATATTCAAGGCTTGAAAGTTTCAATGGCTGAAGCCAATTACTATGCAAGTAACAGAAGCACCACAAGCCATTGGATTTGGAAAGATATGAATAGTGTTGGTGAGAAAGTGAAAAGATATTCAGGTTTGGCATGGAGAACAGCACTGAAAGTGGGCAAAGAGGACCCAAGAAGGGTGGTCCATTCATTGAAAGTGGGCCTGGCTTTGACACTAGTTTCATTGCTCTATCTAATAAAGCCGTTGTTTGAAGGGATTGGACAAAACGCCATGTCAGCTGTCCTCACTGTGGTTGTGGTCATGGAGTTTACTGTTGGTAAGGCTAGCTAATAGTAATAGCTATTCATTCTCACTGATATTTTCTTGTTTTTAGATCATACCATTGGTAGTATAAGTACTATTGAAGAATGTTCATTTCATCCTTTTTGCTTTTTCTCTTGATTTTATGTATACTGCAGGAGCAACATTGGGCAAAGGACTAAACAGAGGGTTGGGGACTATGCTGGCAGGATCATTGGCATTTCTTGTTGAGTATGTTGCAGACATCCCTGGTCGGATTTTTCAAGCTGTTTTCATTGGTGCTGCAGTTTTTATTTTAGGTAAGTATGACCACTTATTACGTACGTGAAAGAATCTTGGCTTCTAGTTTAATCATTGGAAATGATTTTGTTGGTCAATTACCAAAATATTGAGGAAGGAAATCTACTCATGCATGATGAAATTCAAGATAGCATGGGGCACGAATTAAAAGGTTACATCTAAATAACATGCACTTAAAATATCACAAGGATACCAAATGCTGTTCCCACTTTTTACTTGTGATGCGATATGAAGAGAAAGAAAAATATATAAACAGGTATGATAAAATATCAAAATAGGGTCCTCATGTTTTAAAAAATTGTACAAAAACAACATACTCAAAATGTTATTACACAAAAACGCATTTGGTTTGGTGATAAATGCAAAACACATTACATGATGAAGTGACCAGGAATTGAGTCTCTCTTTTGTCAAATTTTAAACTATTTTTATTTAACTAAATAATTTTAAAACTATGCTATACCGTCGTAGTAAAATAAAAAATAAATAAAAAAAACGATAATCCATTCCTTACTATATTATCCTTGCAAATTAATCACATTAAAAAAAAAAAAGCACTTGAAATTTTATGTCCAAATAACAGAAATGAAACAAACTTTAACCAACTAGTTAAACAATAATAATAACGGTTTTATTATTTTATTGTCTTGAAAATAATAGTTAAAGAATAAATAAATAATATTTTATCAAAATATTTTATTTAATGTTATCAATATATCTCACAATAATTTTTAATATTTTTATTTATTAATTCTTTAAGAAACAAAAACAATAATAACTATCAACAAGAGTAACATGAGAAAATTTAGCCAATAATATGGGTAAATTATAGACGAATCTGAATCATTCCTTACCGGGCCTAGTCGAAAATTCATGGGATTATTTCATAGTATTTGTCTGAGAAGATATTTTATGAAAGTTATTTTTATAAGGTTATTACACAAACATACCCAAAAGGCCTCTCAATCATTGAAGTATGTTTGTATTATGTAAGTTATTATTTCTTGTTTTATGTCCAAATTTTATGTCCAAATAACATAAATGAAACAAACTTTAACCAACTAGTTAAACAATAATAATAACAGTTTTATTATTTTATTGTCTTGAAAATAATAGTTAAAGAATAAATAAATAATATTTTATCAAAATATTTTATTTAATGTTATCAATATATCTCACAATAATTTTTAATATTTTTATTTATTAATTCTTTAAGAAACAAAAACAATAATAACTATCAACAAGAGTAACATGAGAAAATTTGGCCAATAATACGAGTAAATTATAGACGAATCTGAATCATTCCTTACAAAGTTATTTTTATAAGGTTATTACATAAACATACCCAAAAGGCCTCTCAATCATTGAAGTATGTTTGTATTATATAAGTTATTATTTCTTATTTTATTTTATCGATGTGAGACTTGTTTGTATCCCAACAAAAACGAATTCAAGTCTCACAAAAGCTGAGATGAACCTCGAATCGGTCCAATAAAAAACCTATGGACCAAAAACATAAAAACCTTCTTCCTTTAATTGCTTATCATGTTCAAACAAACTGAGATAGGAAAATTGAGAAAACATGGCTATAGTCCAAAAATGAAAATCCTCCTCTACAAAATGAGAACTTGTAATCAAGTTTTTTTCTCCTCATGTAAGCTATAACTTGTCATCATCTTCTTCAAAAAGTAAAGAACTTGCAATCAAGTTTTTTGTCTCTTGATTAATCATCCTCTTGTTTCATGTTTTGCTGAACCATTAATTGTTTTATTTTTGGTTGGCATGACAGGAGCTATAACTACTTATGTGAGGTTCATTCCCCACATCAAGAAGAATTATGACTATGGTGTCTTGATATTTCTCTTGACTTTCAATTTGATAACTGTATCAAGTTACCGAGTCAATAATGTGTGGGAAATTGCAGAAGATCGCATAGCCACCATTGCCATAGGTGGTGGCCTATGTCTTCTAATGAGTCTATTGGTATTTCCAAATTGGTCAGGGGAAGACCTCCATAACTCCACCATATCAAAGCTCGAAGGCCTAGCCAACTCTATAGAAGGTTCTGTTCTACCTTATGTTAAAGAAAAGCACTCCATTTTGTTGAAAAAAAAAAAAAATATTAATTGTTAAATAGTACTATTCTATTTCATTATGAACACAAAAAAGGTTAGTTCTATTGTCTTATTCAATATATATCGCTGATGGTCCAAAGAATCATGCAGCTTGTGTCACGAGATATTTTAATGATTCTGAAAATCAAGAAACTCAAGATGATTCATCCGACGATCTGATTTACAAAGGTTACAAGATTGTTTTGGATTCCAAAGCTAAAGATGAAACACTGGTAACTGTTGTGAACTTTCCTAGTAAAGTTAAACATATCCGAGATACGTGTTTGTTTGTGGCAGTCGATTTTTATGAATGTGCAATTAAACAGGCATTACAAGCAAGCTGGGAGCCAAGATGGTCAAGACATTGGCATAGAATCCCATGGCAGAAGTATACAACTGTTGGAACTGCTCTTCGCCAGTTTAGTTACACTGTTGTTGCACTACATGGGTGTCTGCTATCTGAAATTCAGGTACCATATCTTAATCAACTAGTTTAATAAAAGAATTGCACTATGTGATTGCTTTTGGATACAAAATACTTACCACTTGATATAAGGTCACTATAACAAAACACTTGGAATATTAATCATTCATTAAGCTCTATGATCTGAACAATGTTCAGGCTACATTATCTGCATGTGACCATTTAGTCAGGTGGGTCAGGTCTATCAATCAAAAATGAAAAAGCTAAAACCATTATTTTCTTAGCTAGCATAGTATAAAAATTGGAATTTAGGGTGTGTTTGGAAAATAGTTGAGTTGAACTCATCTCCGGTTGAAAAAAAAGTTACATTTTCAAGCTTTTACTTTTTTTACATTGAAATGTGTGTTTTTTTGTTGAATGTAATTTCAAACTAGTATCCAAACATACACTTAATTAATAATCATGTAATAAAATTTACAGAATCAAATATAATTTTTGTTAATTTATTATAAAAATCAATAATTTATCATAAATGGTGGTTTGTAATTAGATGACGGTATAAATTTACATCATGAGTACATAACTTATTTTCTATAAAAAATAGTTTTTTTCTTTTGGGGGGAAATGTACATAATCTACTGATATATGCTTTCACCTTTTATATCAATTAATAAAGACACCAGGGTCGATTAAAGCCCTATACAAAGAGTCTTGCATCAGTCTTGCGGAAGAAGTGTCTAAAGCACTAAGGGAACTGGCCAACAGCATAAGGAACAAACGTCAATTCTCCCCTCAAGTGCTGTCTGATAACCTGAATGAAGCTCTACAAAACCTCAACGATGACTTGAAATCCCAACCACAACTCTTTCTAGGCTCAAAGAAAAGTGGAACAGTTGCACACCCTGAAGAGGACACTAGATTATCATTCTCAAGTGTCAGGAGTGATTGTTCTTCCATGTTTGAATATAAATCCAAAGAGCTCTCTGGTGAAATGCCAATGGAAGGACACAAGAAGGTTTTAAAGCCGTTGCTGAGTAAGATTGCAATGGCTAGCCTTGAGTTCTCAGAAGCATTGCCTTTTGCTGCTTTCACTTCTATGCTTGTGGAGATGGTGGCAAAGCTGGATCGTGTTATAGATGAAGTTGAGGACTTGGCGAAGTTGTCACGCTTTAGAGAGTTCAGAGATGATGATGAGATTGTTGTGACTTGTGAGAGACCAAAAATAGTGAACAATGACTTGCCTTCTTATGCATTAGATTAATTAGTTGATAGATAATCAATCCACTTGGATTGTTATAGGAGTATGAGCATGTTTGGATACAACTTATAAGTATTTTTTAGAACTTCTCTACTGAAAATAAGAAATAATTTTCAGTTGAGAAATTCTTAAAAGTACTTGTAAACTTGTATTCAAACATGTTTTATATATATATGTATTCTACTTAAGTGATGTTTATCATCCCACTAGAAGTGTTAAGTATTTGAGTGTCTGTGCGAGAATAAGGCATATGTGGGGAGAGCATGGCAGTTATGTAGTTTTAATAGGTCTTCTAAAAACAGAAATGTAATCAAAAGCTAATAATTCTCTGCTATGAGACGTTTTAATCGCAATATATAGCAATCTCATGTTGAAATTACCCTATCTTCCCCTTCAAATAATAAGGGATACATGATTTAATAAGTAACAATATCTTAATTATTAGTTTTTTTTATGAACTGTTTATCACCAAGTGGTTGGTTCATGTAATAAAGTTCGAGTTCTAACATTGTGTATTACAACAATTGACTCAATTAGAATTGTTTAAAGTAAAAAATAAATGTAATTTTAAAAGGAAAAAAACTGTGACTTTTTAATTCAGAGGATGGAGAAAGGAATAGGAAATCGAACAAATGCTTTGGATGACTAAAATGAAAGGTTTTTTGAAGAAAAAAAATCATTTTAAAAAGTTGTGTGAATCATCCAAAGCATTTTAAAATGAAAGTTAAAAACCTACGAATCATTTCAAATTTTCTTGCAAAATCCTCCAACTAATATTCTTAATTATTAGATAAAGAAAATATTAAATGCATTTTAAGTTTATAACATACTAAATATATTTACTTTTTATTTAATATTTTCTTAACTAAGTATTAGAAATATTTGAAAAAGATATAACATTACTCAAAATCCAAAACAAAATAGTTTTTTTCTTTCTTGTTAACCAGAAAACTAAGATTGAACTTTTTTTTTAGTAATATCGAAGATTGAACTTAATTATTCATGAGCACTTAAAAATATTTATTTACCAGCTCTATGGCAGAAAATATTCCTTTTAATGTAGATGGGCCGCTCTCAAGGTCTTCCGTTAGAACCTTGTAAACGGGCTACAACCACAAGTTGGCCCATTAGCCTCTAACAAGATTCCTTCGGCCCGTGGATTATTTACCTTTTTCAACTAGCTTTCTTAACCCATCCAGCGGATTCTACTAATTAAATTAATTTTTTTCTCACGTAATTATTAGTAATTGTTCACAGGATTTGTTTTGATCTGGTAATTATTCATAGGATTATTATGTTTCAATGCATAATTAAATAGAGTATTTTGTTGCTTACCACCATCAACTCCGTACTTGAGAGGCGATTATGAAATGGAATTTATTTAGCAGCCAATTAAATCATATTTCACATATTACAGCTAATATTCTTTTTGGTACACATATAACAGTGGATTAATTCATGAGTAATGCATAAAATAAAAATTATATAATAATTTATATAATATATTTTTTTATCACTTCATTTATTATGAAGAGAAATATTATTAATAATAGAAAAATAAACATAAAAATAATGTTATATAATTTTTATTGAAGTTGTAACATCCTTCTCAATTTATAACTTGTTTGGTCAAAGATAAGCAAACTAAATTATTATTTTTGAGAAGAAACGACAACATAGCTTAATTCATGACACTAGAATTAATTTGAATAAAATAATCACATGCATACAACGGGTTACAACTGTACTTGCAACTAAAACAGCATATATCAGCCGTTAATAATTTCAAAAGTAGCCAACGTAGCACTAAACCTGATGTGTCATGTTAGTACCAGACAGTTCTAATTAACAAATAACCACCACTATTCAACAAGTTGGATGAAGAATTTAAATAAAATATATTTTTTTAAAAATTAAAATATTTTAAAATGAAATATTTTATTTAGATTAAAAATTTATAAAAAAAAAAATATATTTATAAGATTCTTTTAAATAGTAAGGTTTTAAATTAAAAAAAAAAAAAAAGAATTTAAAATTTTTCATTTTTTTTAAATCTTATCAATATATATTTTTTTTATCTTTTTATGTTTTCTCTCTCTTTCTCGCACTCTCTTTCATTTTTCTTATGTTTTTTTTATTTATCTTTTTTCATCTCTCATAGTTTATTTTTTTTTCTCCTTTTTCCCTTCTATCTTTAAAGAATGAAGAAAATTAGAATTAAAGTAATTTAAATTTTAATAATTTTAAATTTCTTAAATTTTTAAAATTTCTCATCTAAATACACCATAAAAATAAAATGATAGACAACAAATTTAAGGTGAGGTATCACTTATTAGAAGGCGCCACCTATATTAATGCTATAGTGAAAAACTAAACAATCTTTATTAAATTATATAATACTAATCAAGAAATTGAACACAAGTGATTAATGTGTTAAATATAAAGTTAAATTTTTCGGATAACAATCCATGGTCAAGTTTTACTTACCTTCCAATTGAATTAGATTAGTCTAATAAGGTAAAACATTAAAACATCGGTGCAAAAGCAAAACAAAAAAAAAATATTAAATTTGTTACGTGTAAGTTATTTTGCTAATCTGTATAATATGATATCTAAAAAAATTTCATCACAATAGTTCTTATATAAGTTGTATTGTTTTTTATATTGTATGAATTAATAAAATTATTTTACTTGCCAAAAAAAAGTATTTGTCCCTCTTCAAAGTGCTCGAATGTAATCTTCAAAGTGGTAGTTATACTTGTAAAAGAAATCTTGTCACTTAAATTAGCAACTATTCGGAACTTGTAAGTAACTTATGCGAATGATCTTACCGAAAGTGAAATATATGAATATAAATAAAAGAGTATTTGTTATCGTTAGTCGTAAAAAATATTAAAAAAATCATTGAAATTTTTTAATCATAATTTAGTAAATATTGTAAAATGATAAAATGTAATATAAATACATTTGCTATAAGAAAATAAATAAATAAGAGAGAATGACATATATGAAAGAATATTACATGGAACGTGAATAAGAAAGTAAATATAAACACCTATTTTACTAAAATTTTGAATAAAATTGGTTTATAATCTCATTTATATATAAAATGAATATAAATAATATAAAGGAAATAACGTTTCTTAAAAAATTGCCTTAAGAGTTTTATATTGATTAAATCATATTATCATTTACTATTAAAAAAAACATATATATTAATATAAAAAATAATATTTTATAAGAATGAAGTTGTAACGAAATTATAAAAATAAAAAATAATTTAATATTTATTTTTGATAAATATTTTATAACATAAATAAGAATAAAAAAATATTTTAATATTTGTATTTGATAAATATTTTATAATGTAAATAAGAAATGTTTTAATATTTGTTTTTAATTAATATAAAATTAAATTATTTGATGTTAGACTAAATTAATTTTTTATCTAAAATTTCATATTAATTAAATTATATTCCCATTAATTATTAACTAATTATTTTCCCTTCCTAAATCAATATTTTATGCCAAAAAAGTTCGTTTCAATGAATCTAATTAATAGTTATCAAAATAAACATTTTTTATATATTTAGACAGAATCAACCATTCCTCTAAAAAAAAAGACAGAATCAACCAACCTATAACAATACACAAATATTTCAATGAATCCTAATGAATAACAACTAAAATAAACTTATATATATATAATTAACAAAACTATAAGAATAAAAAAATTTAACATTTATTTTAAAATAACATAACATAAAATTAGAAAAAAGAATATATTTTCAGGTTTAAGATTTAATATTAAATTATTTAAAAATATTTGGACAGATTCAATGAATATTTTATAATGTAAATAATTATTAATCATTATTAGATTCCTATTTCAATATTATTACTAATTACACAAAATAAACATTTTTTAATATATTTACAAAATTATAATATTTTAATAACAAAATAATATTTTATAAAAGTTCATTATATATATATATATATAATGATTAAAGTATATATTATAGCATATTAAAGTATAAATTATATTGTATTTAATATTATAATATATTATTTTAAAAGCATATATAAAGTAAATAATTTCTGTACTATTTTTTTACCTCCAAAATTTTTACCAAAAAAATTGTATACAAATTTAATTATAAAATAAAAAATAAAATATGTATTTAATATTTTTTAATGTAATTAATTACTAATAAAGGCTACATTTGTGCATTGTGATTATACAATAAAAAATTAAAATAAAATAAATAATAAAAAATAAAAAACTTAGGAGGTTTTTGTATCATAAGGATAAGTGACTGCTTTCACACATTTCAAGTTATTAATGATTATGATTATATAAGTTAGTGATCAGAAGATGGATGGTGACAAGAAGATTGTATGTCAAATGCACAATGAAGAACAATCTTATGAACTGAATCTGTTGTGAACAATGGGTTGTTGAAGGAGCTCTGCATGCGTCCCATGGATGATAACGACTTCCTAGAAAGAATCCTTGTTGGTGAAGAATCTGTTTGGATTCTGTTGTGGAGTTTTAGTTTCTACAATTAACATTTCAGCACACACTCATGTCATCCTTGTTTATCCTTTTTAGACACATGACACAATCATAAGCTATTTGGGTCACATTGAACTACTATCCATGTGGCTGAGAGCCCTCACAGTCCCGGCACAATAACGTAATTATCAGGGCCGGGCTCTACCACCACTGAGAGAGATCACAAAGAACTGAAAGAAGGTTGTTTAAGGCGTAGGTTTCACCAGCATATATTACAATTTTTGTTGATATCTCATCTACGGGAACACGGGTTTAGTTGTTGGGCTTTGCAAATGCAATTAAAAAGTAAATAAAACTCTAATCTGGTGACTATGAGTACATCAACGTGAATTTGCATGAAATCACTACATTCTTGAACCTTTTGTCATAAGCTTCCAGATAGATTGTCCCACAAAGGCACAAAACAATATCCTTCCGTGCTTGAAAGTTTAATTCTGTTTTTCAAAATCAAAATCATTGACCACAGGTATGTCTTTTCAATTATTTTTTATTTAGAGATTCATATATGTGATTTGCATGCGAATTTTATTTATGTGTTGAGTTAAAGTTTTTAAGGAGCTAAAATTTTGTATGGATATGTAGAAGTCAAAGTTAATCTATGAAGAAAAAAAAAAGAGGTATGGTAAAAAATTGATGAAAATAATTGGGAGACATCATTTAGAGAAGATAGTGTAGGTAATTAATATTTGATAATCTTTCCATAGTAAAAAGAATTAATTATTAGTACACTATCATCAATTTTCATAGATAAAATGAGATTCACTCTAAAATCAATATAAATATGATAAGCTTAGCATGCATCACTTTATGTAGTATTGAACATTTTTACTATATATGTTTTGAGATATTATTTTATGGTTCCCTCACAATTTTGTAACCACATATTTGATTTGGTTATTATAATATATTTTAAATACATTATTTATATAAGTTTGATCCATATGATATTACGTGAAAGAGAAGTTTAATGTTATAAGAAGATAACTATTGTTGATCAAATATATTAATTGATTAAATATTTAAATTATATAATGTATGTTGATACATTTAGTATTAAAGATGTGAAGAATTTCTTGGTAGAATACTTAACATACATTGTTCATTTATGTTTAAGTAATATAACCAAGAGACGATCAAAAACAATTTTTAGAGGATGTGTGGATTTTATTTTTAAGGTGTGTATGTAGTGGTGTTAAGAATAAAAATTTATTGGTTAGTTTATGAATTTATTTTGTGGTTTCTAAGATCATTAGAGAAGCTATTGGTTTTTATAAGTGTACTTTTGAAGTACTCTTATTATTATTATTATTTTACATTGGTCTCTTGATCTTTAAGGATTTTAATTATGGAAGCTTCTATAGAGATTTTATAAGTGATGTTATTGACTTTTACAGTGATAAAGTTTTTCTTTTTTTTTTGAAAAAAAAAGGTATAAAATTTTAAAGTGAATGACAAGTAAGTTGGATTTGATTTTGATATATTGTTATATTAGATTGATGAAAGTTAGGTGATGCTTTTTAAGTTTAGATATGATATGAGTTTTGAGGATGTGAATTTAAAAGTTGAGAAAATTGTATGGTATAAAACTAGCAAGTTTTAAGATTTTGGTGTAAATTTGTTAGGGATAATGATTTTTGGAAAGAATATAAAGTGAAAAAAGAGAAGTAAAACTTATAAGATCCGAGACAAAAGAAAGACTTCATGATAATATTTGTAAGTTGTAACTTTTGTTGACTTTTTAGGGGGTAATTTATAGTTCTTATTACCGGACAATACATCTATTGTCTCTTGAAAATGTGACTTCTCTAAGTTTAACATTTGAAAGTTTTTCTCATTTTTGACACAAGATACTAGGGACTGTGAGACTTTTTAAAATTTTAAAGAACTTTTAAAATTTAGTTATAAGCTAATAATAAGTGAAGTAGACATTTTAAAATTTCATTATTATGGATTGAGTTTTCTATTATTATGGCTGTAATTATATTTCTTTAGAGTCGTACTTTGTAACCTTGTAAACCTAATAGAATAAGTTATATTTTGTATTTTTTTTAAAAAGTTAAACAATCATTTTGTTTAAAATTTACTATTAAATTAAAATTTTGAAATGTATAAGATTAAAAAAAAAAAGTTAACTCTTGGCTCTTGGCTCATGTTCAAGCTAACGAGTTAAATCGATTTGCTAATAAGCTTGAACCAAGACAAGTTTGAATTGAAAAAAATGATTCATGTCGAACTTGAGTCGTTGCAAGCTGAGCTAAATATTATTGAGTTGAGTTAAGTTTAGCTAAGCTCGGGCCAACTCAACTCATTTCCAACCCTACTTTTTGCCTTATCATCTAAAATTTATTTTTACCTTATCTCCTTGTCTTGTTGACTTGGCCTCAAGCAGTTTTGATAAACAAATACTTTCGTTATAAATACAATATTTTAGAAGATTATAAAGCACTTTCCACACATCTTTAACCTTTTTTTATTCTCTTCTAAATTCTTGGGTTATTCTCATAAAAAATATTTGCTAGCTCAATTACCTCAACCATATTAATGTATCTTGGAGGCTTGTGCATCTAAGTCTTGAAGGTTTGTGCATCAAGTGAACAAGTCTTTAAGAATAATATTATTGATAACAATTCTAGGTAGGTTATTAAAATTTGTGATCATGACAAGAAGATTAATCATGAGATGGACAACAATAAACATTAAAAATGTTATTGTTATGTTACATGTTGTAGTATTTTGTTTGAAGGAGTATATATTTATTAAGAGATTTTACTTTTGGTTATTACTCATAAAACTTATAACCAATGATTATAAACTCTTATTTCTCTTCTTATTATAACGATATGAGATTTTGTTTGTATCATAACAGTTCTTCCTTCAAATAAGGGACATAATCTCTCATTCAGTGAAATCTATTGTTAAGTCTCAATTTTACCTCTTTTTGATGAGACTTATTGAACAAATTCCACTCATCCTTTGAACCATTGCAATATAATTGTTCTCTTTTTGGTTCATTTTGTATGCAGATATAACTAACCCAAATTCATCTAACAATACCTTAATCCACCTCATTTTTTGTACAGGTATTGAGCTAGAGATTTGAGGATCGAAGATCTTTTGGATTGGAAACATAAGGAGCCAAGGAGCAGAGCAGAGTGTCTGCGCCGGGCGTAAGATGACGCTGCGCCGGGCTTGAGAAGAACAGAGCAGTGGACTTTTGGAAGTTGTACATGCGCCGGGCGCGAGACTCCACCACGCCGGGCGTGATCGAGGCAGAGAGTACCTCAATACTCTCTGGAACGAATTGCGCCGGGCTTAATAGAGAATTGCGCCGGGCTCGCTCTAAGGCAGAGAATGCTTGAAAGTCTCTGGAAGACACTGCGCCGGGCGTAAAAAGTAATTGCGCCGGGCTTATAACGAGGCAGAAAGTGCTCAGAAGACTATGCGCCGGGCGCGACAACTTATGCGCCGGGCGCAGAACCCTAATCTGACCTCCCAGGCTCGTATTTGAAGCCATTTTCGAGGGTTTCTCCCTCATTCACACATTGGGCGCGTTTTGGGAGCTGTGGAAGGGATTCCCGGAGCTTGGAGCCGTTCGTGTGTGGGTCTTTCCTTCGGTTCTAACCAACGTACTCTATTGTAATCTTTACGGTTTTAATGATATATATACATGTTGTTTTATTCTTTGTTGTGTTTGTTTCTATTCTTAATGCTTGCTTTGGATTGATCACCCTTTGCATGATTTAAGGTTCCATGGGTATTGGAAAATAACCTTTGAAACTAGTTCTGAAACATATGCCTAGTGGTGATTGTATCTAGGGATAGAGCTTGACCCATTAGTAGTCTTAAACCCTAGCCCGTAATGCGGGTGTAGATATTGGGTACTCAAGGGATTGATATTCAATATCCGCATCTAGGCTCTTTTTCTAAGGGATTAGGTTTGAGTAACTCTTGGGTTGACTAAGCAATGAATTTAACAAGAGATTAAGGACTCATTAGTGTAACGTTTGGTGAAATCTGACCCCACAACCTCACAAAACCATTACCATTTCTACCCTTTTCCACTCACAAACCATTATTTATTTATAGCTTTCATTCCAGTAGTCATGCTCTTCGATTCATATACATGACGAACTACAATTTGGAATCATTCTTTAGTCACGAATAGTCATTAAATGCTTATTTTACCTTCTAATCCCTGTGGATACGATATTTTTTTTACTACTTGAACGGCCGGTATACTTGCCGTGTTTGAGACCGTTGATGGAATTAAACTAAATTTCAATTATAACAAAAGTACTTCAACGGAAATCTCAACATCTATCTTTGTATATATTTTTTTGTTATAATCATAGATTATTAGTTATTACCAAATCTAACCAAACTCTAACATCACTGATGAATTATTTTGTGTTTATATTTTATAAAGATACATTTTTATTAGAGAAGTATAATATAATTTTACTTATCTAACTCTTTATAGAAAGAAAAAAATTACAATACAAAAATAAATATTAATATTATTCTAATAAAACAAATTAAATTTAAATATTTAAATAAATAAAAGATTTCTATCAAAATTAATTTATTCTCTAAAAAAATATTTAAATATATTCCCAATAAATAACACATAGTACCAAACCTTTTGTGGCATGTTAGCACTAGAGAATTCTAATTACCAAATAATCACGAACATTCAACAAGAAAACACACGATAAAGTGAGAGACAACAAATTCAGGGTGAGGATCGCTTATAAGAAGGTGCCCCGTGTTACTGCTACAGTGAAAAACAAAAAACCTTTATTAAATTATATAATATGTAGTATATAAGCTTTTGGTCACCACCTTCACCAATATGATACCAATTTCTGCGAGGTTGGTTTTTTTTTCCGCTTAACATTGACTCTATTTCTCTTTTATAAACACACTGGATTGCACGGCTGGAACTATCTGTATCAATTTTATAATTAGTTTAGTCTCCATCATTAAGAGGAAAAATGAAAGTTTTCCACTGTTATCATTACTCCTTTGTCACCTTGTTCAAGCTTTTAAGCTAAACATAACTTCTCTCGATATATCATAACTGAAACATTGATGATTATTCTGCTTAGAAATTAAAGCTGATTCAGGCTTTGAAGGTTTCAATGGCTGAAACCATTTACGGCTTTGCTGATAAGGTGAAAGGATTTCCTGGTTTGGCGGGGAGGGCAACATGGAAGGTTGGCAAAGAGGATCCAAGAAGGGTGGTCCATGCTTTGAAAGTTGGCATTGCTCTGACACTAGTTTCTTTGTTGTATCTGATGGAGCCATTGTTCAAAGGGATAGGAAAAAATGCTATGTGGGCTGTCATGACTGTTGTTGTGGTCATGGAGTTCACTGTAGGTAAAAAGGCTATTAGAGTGGCATTGTTATGTTCTTAGATCAATAGGTATTGAAGGATCGGTTCTTTTGTTTTGACCCTTTTGCTTTTGTCTCTGATTGCAGGTGCCACTTTATGCAAAGGACTAAATAGAGGATTGGGGACTCTGTTAGCAGGATCATTGGCTTTTCTTATTGAGTATGTTGCAGATGCACCTGGTCGGATTTTTAGAGCAGTTTTCATTGGTGTTGCAGTTTTTATGTTAGGTAAGCATTTACTATCATGTCATGAAAGAAACCTTACCACTTCTGTTGTTTCTCTTTGTCCTGCTGCCTCATTTAGAGTCGCATGTCAAAGAAGTATCTTTTTGTTGAAATTTTAAGAGAAAATTGATATGCAAAAAATCATACAAAATACATGCTTTTAGAGTCACATGGCTGCTTTGTTTTTCACTTTTGGTTGGCAGGAGCAATAACAACTTATGTGAGGTTCATCCCTTATATCAAAAAGAATTATGACTATGGTGTTATGATCTTTCTGCTGACCTTCAATTTGATAACTGTATCAAGCTACCGCATTGATAATGTCTGGAACATTGCAAGAGATCGCATTGCAACCATTGCCATAGGTTGTGGTCTGTGTCTTGTAATGAGCCTATTGATATTTCCAAACTGGTCAGGTGAAGATCTTCACAGCAACACCATATCAAAGCTTGAAGGCTTAGCCAGCTCTATAGAAGGTAATTAAGGTGAACTTTTCGGCAGAATAACACTAAATTACTTCCTTATTTTAAAGGAAAGCACCGAAAGTTTGTAAAACAAAAAACTGCTGAAGATTATTATTTATTGAATATGAAAAAGTTGCTTTGGTCCCTTGATCTATATCATTGATGGTCAAAAGTGTCGTGCAGTCTGTGTCATGAAATATTTTTATGATCATGCAAAGCCAGCAACTCAAGATGAATCATGTGAAGATCTTATTTACGAAGGTTACAAGGCTGTCTTAGACTCCAAAACTAGCGATGAAACACTGGTAAGTCAATGCTCCTTTCAAACATGTAAGAGATTAGTGCTTTGTGATAGAAGTTCATAAGTGGAATTTTTTTATGGAATTAAACAGGCATTACAAGCAAGTTGGGAACCAAGATACTCAAGATATTGCCACAGAATCCCGTGGCATCAATATGCAAGAGTAGGAGCTGCTCTTCGCCATTTCAGTTACACTGTTGTAGCACTACATGGATGTCTACAGTCTGAAATTCAGGTACTAAATCAAATAGTTTAGGGGAAAAAATAGTTTGTATAATGCCAAAATTAACTTAAAATGTGCTTCTGCTTTCTATGGACTTAACTTTCAACCCAAACGAGAAATGTTAATAAAAAAATTATCATTCCCTCAAAAAAAAGTAAATGTCTTAAAAAGTATCATGAACCCTGTTCGAAGCATCATAACATTTGAGAGGGTTATGAAACTTCTAAGAAATACATATATCAGATCTTAATCAAGTGAGTTTCATGATGCAAGTTGGTAGCTGCATCTCTAATCTTGCCATTGTTATCTTTCATTTAACTCCAAGTGTATTAAATCATAATTCATATAAATGATGACTGTGACAAAGATTTTCATGCTAAAACAACTTGCTAGTTGATCTAGGTCATTATGCCAACTCATTTTTTCCCCCTCAAAATTTGCTTCCACTTGCTTCTATTATGTCCATCATTGAACTCCTGGACCTGGATTATCTGTCATGTTATTGATAGCACATGGATAGCAATCGCTAGAAAATCAATCATTGATTAAGATCTAGGATCTAAATTCTAACTGATAATCAAGACCATTATGAAATTAATGTCTACATTAGCTAGCATCTTTACTACAATGATTAGAATAGCCCTTAAAATACTTCTTATTTGAGGCTTATTATCATAATTTTATAATTATATATTCCTCTGATTTATTTGTCGCTTGATTTTTGATTCTCAAGACACCAAAGTCAATTCGTGCCTTATACAAAGGCTCTTGCATCAGGGTTGGAGAGGAAGTGTCAGAAGTATTAAGGGAACTGGCCAAAAGCATAAGAAACAATAGTCAATTCTCCCCTGAAACACTCTCAAACAATCTCAATGAAGCATTACAAGACCTTGACAATGCCTTGAAATCTCAACCACAACTTGTACTAGGATCGAGAAATGGTCGAACCCCCAACACCCCAGTTCAAGCAACTCCACTTCGTGACCAAAAGCTTGAAGAGGAAACCAGAATCTCATCCTCAAGTGTCAAAAATGATTCTTTTTCCCCACGTGAATGCAAATCCAAAGAGCACTCTCGCGAAACGCCAAAGAAGGTTCTAAGGCCACAACTGAGTAAGACTGCCATCATTAGCCTCGAGTTCTCAGAAGCATTACCCTTTGCTGCTTTCACTTCTTTGCTTGTAGAGATGGTGGCTAAACTTGATCGTGTTATGGATGAGGTTGAAGAGTTGGGTCGATTGGCACACTTTAGAGAGTTTAAAGATGATGATTATAATGATGAGATTGTTGTCAGTTGCGAGAAACCAAGGATACACGTAGCTCAGAATGACTTGCCTTCTCATGGAGGAGAGTAATTAGTAGAATCCATAGGTGTTTACCATCATCCCCATGAGCAGAGTTACAAGCATACATATATTCGTGTGTGTAAAGGAACATGCAAAGGTGTACTTAGAATGATTCCACAACAATTACCCTGATGTGCAAATTGAGCTCCTTGGTTTGTTAATAGCTAGCATGTTTTGATTTAGTTGAGTGATGTTTACATTACCTATGTCTCAATTAAGATCTCTCACGAGCCTTGTGCATACGGAAGAATAAGTTATATATATATACACACACATCAGGGTATGTGATTTTTGCTTATGGATTTGACTCGTGAACTCTGATATTTGACTAATGTATTATCCTGCGAAGCACAAAGTTGAAAAATATTTAAAAATAAGGTATTCTTCAAGCATAAATATATGTTTATCAGTAGATATATAATTACAAAAGTTAGCAATCTGTTTATTACTCAAACAATCCATTGAAATGAGAGATGCAAACAAGTAATCAAAACGAAAAGGCAGAGGTGGTAGTACTAAATTATTCACGAGCAACTAGAACTACTTGTTTGCCAGCACTACGACCTGTGAACATTGCTTCTAGTGCAGCTGGGCCACTCTCAAGACCCTCAGCTATGTCTTCAACGTATGTTATCTTCCCTTCCCTAATATAAGGCAGAACAGTGTCCAAGAATTCAGGATATAGGTGATACATACACAGTGAAGGCTTCTATTTTGATCTGCTTGTATGGGATATTCACTAAATTCTTTATGCCTTTAGGCTCATCAAGATCATACTATGATATCATTCCAGCCACTGGAATTCGATCATGCCTTCTCATGTTAAGAAGGGCTGCCTCAAGCATGTCTCCCCCAACATTGTCAAAGATGTCAATGCCTTCAGGGAAGTACCTATCACCAATTAAACCACAACATTTAATATGTTTAGCATTGTGGAACATCAATGACTGTTTCTTAGGATAATTAAAGTTAATTTTTTTAATATACTATGGATATGCTAAATGCTAATCAAGTACTCACCTCTTCAAAGTTGCATCCAGGTCTTGTTCCTCCTTGTAATTGAAAGCCCCATCAAACCCAAACTTATTCTTCAAAATGTCAATCTTATTTGCACAAAAAAACAGAACAATTAACTAAGGTTGTTGTTCAATCTAGATAAATGCAATTGCTGTACTGTGCAATATCTCTACCTTATCTTTACTTCCTGCACTTCCAACAACATAGCAACCCAACAATTATTTGCTAGTTGACCAACTGCACCAAATGCTGAAGATATAAAAACATAATCTCCTTTCTTAGGAGCCCCAACTGCATAGAAACCTGCATAAGCAATCATACTAGACATACCTACAAGTGAAAATTTTCACAAACAGACAGTTTAATGAATTCTCATCACATGAGAGGAAGTTGTAAGGCTATGGTAGAAGTGTGCAAATACATGTCCGAATGAGTTGGATTACCAGTTATGTGAGCTGCAGCCAGAATCTGTTTGTTGCTCACTTGTGCCATTGTTTGTTTTGGGTTCTGAATTGATCTTAATTTCCCTTCTCAGCTCTTCTATGTTTCAAGATGTTTTGTGATGTCTGACACCGTTTTTTTCTCTATGTATTTATGGGGAGTAAGAAGAGTTGGATTGGAGCAAACTAAGGACGAGGTTAGAAAGTAACATTTATATTCCTGGTGGCTTGAATAGGGACGTTGTTTAATAACCAAAACATTAAATTAATTCTTCCTCAAGATCATATGAATTATGAAAAGTCCTCCAATCTCCATTATTGGCGCGGAACCTATACTGTACACTGTATAGTTTTGTTAAGTTAAAATATTTTTAATAAAATTTTGGGACCAATTTAAAAGGATTTTTTAATATTTAAGGCTTAAAAACTACTTACAATGCATTTTTTTAATATTTTTTGGGATTATTTAAGTTTTTTTTTTTCTATTTTAAAAGCTGAGAAAGAACGATTTCAGGAGCGTGTCTTTTAAAGGTATTTTGCGATGCCTTCCGCTAAATTTCAATTGTTGATTGGTTTCTTGGTGAGCTTATTATTTACCAAAAAATAATCAGTTTCCCATATCTTATCGTATGCATATTGGAATTAGAAACTGAAAATATATACCGATAATGTTTGCCAACAAACCTTTTTTTTGGCCGATTATTTGACGGGGCTCCAGGTGCAGTGGACAGAATCAATGAAGGGTCTCCACAAGTTTCACTATTAAAGTCAACATTAAACCAAAATGCAAAACCATGTAGCGGTGCTGGAAAAAACAGAAAATATGTATCAATAAATACCAAGACAATATGATCTGAACAGATTGACAGTCCACAGATTTCACCTGTAGTGTAAAATATCAACTACTTCAAAATGAGAGTGAATTATTGGCCTAGAAAAAAAAAACTGAAACACCACACATAAATATAGACATATCTACAAACACAATTATGATAGAGTGATCAGATTCCTAAGAACATGACGATTCATGTTGCAAAATCCATCAATTATTATAGAGAAGGAACAGTGGAGCAAAAAATTATATAGAAGAGAAGTAATAAACACAAAGATCGTAAGTATACTAATCATATCTTATAGTTTATTCTTTAAGGTTAGTTTTCCTATTTCCTCATTATTATAAGCTTCAAATTTTCATATGTATACAAACAACTTATTTTTTAGGAGAAAAAAAAAAACTTTTTACAAATTTCAGCTATTCCAAACATGTAGCTTATCTTGTAAACAATTTCTTTTCTTTTTTAAACAGCTGAAATTTGGGGGAAAAGTTTTCCCGAACATGCTCTGACTATCAAAAGAATAGATAAATTCCAAAGCACATTAAGCTAGGTTGACCCAAATCAGTGATGTTTTTAAAACTGAAACGATGAAGGCACAAAAGTTCGATGGTCCAATAGTAATGATAAAATATAGCATAAAATCATAAAAAAATTCAACATCTCACTTCAAGAATGGAAACTGCACTAATTTAACCAACTTATAGACCCTATTTCGGCACTAAATTTCTCCTCACACTCACGAAGTAAATTTTCGTTGTCTATGAATATTACAATTTGATGCTAATTATGATTCACGACTCAAAAATTAGTTTGACGATTCACGATTTGAATCCCCATTTGATAACTTTGCTTTGTACTTAGTGACAACATTTTTCTTTCCAATTAATTTGAATATTTAAGCTATCAGTTTTACTCCACCAGAGTTCAGCATCTTGCTTTCGACCAATTATTTTACAATGGTGAGTTTCAGTGTTGAACAATGAAAAATAAGTATTTACTCAATCAACCACAATAATCCGAATAAGCACCTCATGTAGAAGCATATAGACCATCCATTCTGAAATTATAACATCAACCTCTTCATCGATTTCAACATCCTGCCGATACCATAGCTAAGTAATTATATTTGAAGAATGAAACAGGCAGTTACTAATAGCAAATATACAAGTTGATCAGAAAATAATGCACAAATTGATTAGTTGGATGCATCTTATTAACCAGTGAAATGGCGGATCCGTATTGGAAATATGAGATTCTAACATGAAGTTTATAAGGCGTTTGACTCTCTCTAACTACAATGGTTAGCTTTGCTAGTGCGGTTTCCCAAAAAGTTAATTCTACTCCAAAAGCTAGCACGGGAGAGGATTGCTCTACTCTTTATAAGCTCTATTTTGACCATATCTGTAGTAAATGTGAGATCTCAATACACCAAGATTTTCACCATGCCAGAAGTAAAGCTTTCCTAAGTGGACATGCTCGGCTACACTCTCCTGTTGGTTCTGTCATCTTAAACTTGGGTCACAAGCCAGCTCTTAGGTGAGGAAAGCTTTATAAGCTCTACTTTGGCCTTAAACATAGTGAGTGTGGGATCTAAACCCTTTCGATTAAATTCACCTAGAGGCAGTTATTCTTTTCTAGATTCACATGATTGGAAATGTTGGATGGGACTTCATTACCCAATCATTTGAACGTCAAAAATTTGTATCCAAATTGTTTAGGTCATTATATTTTTTGAATAACAAGTTAATCTAAAATTGAAAATTATAGCAACTATTTCAAAGCATAAAACATGTTAGTCAGAGTACCCTACCTCAACTCGTCCGTGCATAATGTCTAAAAGATTATTATCTGCAACAATACTAATGGTCTGCGTGCAACAAGGAAACAATCAACTGAAACCAAAAGCTTATATTCTTCTCTCTATCATTCTAATTCTTATATTCCTTTCTAATATTTGTCAATGCTTTATTTTTTATTTTTTACTTTAATATTTTAGGTCGGGCAATACAACTATAGGTAATCCAATTTGTAAAATTGTGAACCAACGTTTTTTTTTTTTCATATAAAAAATGGATTAGGCCATGGCCTAAATAACATGTTTTGTCACTCCGATCGTACAATAGATTGATAGGAATAATCTTTATAGTTTTATTGATATCTTTCAATTACATGCAAACCATATTAATTGAAAACAAGCTTTTGTAACTTGATTAAGCACTTGCTAATATGTAAAACTCGATCTGGTTGGCTATGTGACATATTCCTGTCTACGCTTTTGGAGATGGATCAACAATTTCCCGTAATCAGGAAGGTTTTCTTTAATGATAGGAACTTGTTTGAAATTTTGAGTCCACGCATGCAACCGAGGAAATTTGTTTTCTTCAATCAGTTTCATCCCCACAATTTCCTCCAACCCTTCTAACCAATGACTCAGGCATCCATATGCTATGTCCACCATACTAATGTTGTTGCCTCCAAAGAACTTTTTCTCCCCTAGACCTTGTTCTTCCATTACCATGATAGTCTCTTGTGCCTTTTTCCTTGCACTTGCTCTTTCTTCTTCATCTTTAGGGGGCCGGAGAAACAGATCAGTAATGGAGGCGATCTACAAAATCAAGTGAAACTTAAATTAGAAAATGAATTAATCATCTAATAGGATGAAACTAAACTTGTGAATAGAAATTAAAGTAGTATGATAGTAAATACATAAAAAGTTTTGATTAGTTGATGATAAAAGATGAAATACGGAATCCTCTCCAAATTTAATCCAAAAGCGAGCTAAGGCCCTCTGGTGGTTGTCTTTTGGCAGCAATGGATTCTGTGGCCATGTTTCTTCGATGTATTCAAGGATCACTAGAGACTCTGCAATGGCTTTGCCTCCATGAATAAGCACAGGGACTTTCTTGTGAAGTGGATTGGATTGTAGAAGTAGTTCACTTTTGTTGTACCTGTCTTCTTCTATGTACTCATACCTAATGCCCTTGAACTTTAGAGCCCATATCACTCTGTGAACAAAAGGGCTAGACCAAAACCCCACAAGTTTCACCTCTGCCATCGCTACCTACTTTGGAATAGGTGCTACATGGATGGAACTTTATATTATCCTCCACAAACTCATGGACGCTCATTCCAATTTTGTTTTTCTTTTCACATTTGCTGATTCCACATTGCATGTCAACAAATTTCATTATTTAAATATAAAAAATTAATTTGGTTCGTGCCTAGAGTATCCACCGCCGACAGTAGTTACTAATCTCCTCGCTACGTACGTTGGAAGCACCTCAAAGGGTGGGATAACTGGCCCCAAGATTTAACGCGGCTGCATACACAAGGCAGGATTCGAACCCCTGACCTTGCTTAAGCGTGGATCAACCCCTACCGCTGAACCACACGCTTAGGGTTACTGTTCATTATGTATTTATTTTATTATTATTATTATATATATATAATAATAATAATCTACTGCAAAGGCCGGCATCTTTTAACTTGTATACCATTCATTGAACTTATCAATTCTATCGACCAGTTTGGCTTGTTCCCCTTTTCTTTTTTACTTTGTAATTATAACGATTAACAATAAACCTCACTAGTAATATATTTTAGTTATTTATTTGTTTTTACAAACTCATAGTAATTACCTTATATATATAATATGTAAAAAAGAGTGTGTTAAGTGTTAACCACTGAACTAGTAAGTAGAAGTGTTACAAAATATATTTATTTATAATATTGGCTTATATTCGACTTTTGTAATTCCTTTTGTCTGTTCTAGTTAGCCGTCCACAATTTGATAAAACATGCGCCAAGTGTCGAAAATTCATTCATTTTTTTTTTTACATAAGAAAAAAATTATAACCTAACTTTCATTCCTCATCGTTCTTTTTCAGATTTTTGTTAACGGATTTGTTTCTTTTATTTATCTATTTTTTTAAGTTATATATCATAACCTAATTTCATTATTTATCCACTTCTTACCTCCATCTTTTAAGAGTGTTTAAAAATTATCAATGTTTAATAGATTAATTGATATTATATTTAATCTTCAACTCTAAAAATTTTAAGTTTGAGTTTTAATTTTGTAAAAATGATTAATATTTAATATTATTTTTATTATTTAAAAATTTAAAGATAAAATATTCTAAACAAATGTGTATATTAAATAAAATAATTTCATTTATCATATGTTATGAATGTTATAGATACCTCTCAATCGACTATGGTGGGTGTGGTAAGAAGGGATTTAGGTATGAATTGTTTTTGTTGATTTTTTTTCTTTTCTTTTCTGATACTTAAAATCAATTTTGTTTTATATAGTTACATTTATATCAAATATTTTTTCTAGTATATGAATTATATTATAATTAAAAATTCTAATATATAAATATATTAATTAAAATTTAATTACGCAAATAAAAAAATGATAACTTGAGAGGAAGTTTTTTTTGACTTATTGCTTAGATAATACGATACTATATTTGACTTTCTTTTAATATCGAGACCAACTTATCCTATTCAAGCTAGTCCATTACAAAGGAAATTTTTTTATTGAGCCGGGCCAACCCAATTTTCTTAGCCCAACCACTGACGAGCTAAGGCCCAACAGATGGGCTCATACACTACTGACGTACTCTGTAGGCGGGTGAAATTTTCCCCTTTGCGAGTTAGAGTGGAGAGCGTGAGACGCGGTACCTGCTCTGCGCCATCGTCTTCCGCCACCACCGCCTCATCGTCGCCGGCACCTCCTCCTTCCGCGGCGAATTGATTCACAGCCAGGTAAAGTTAGCCTTCTCCTCTTTTAGATTGGTCATCTTCTTGTGTTCAGATTTTTAGAGAGAATAATTGCAACTCGAGGCCTTCAAAACCTATTATTGTTCAGTTAGCCGATACCGCAGTGAAATGAGCAAGTACGGTTTGAACCTTAGGCCACCTAAGCCAAAGAAGCAGCTACCAAAACCTTCCCTGGCCACCCCTTTTGGCTTTAATGAAGATGATGACAATGACGTCGAGAGAGAAATTGCTCTTCAGGCTAGCAAGAATAAGCGTCTCAAGGAGGTGCGTTGATCTTCCTGTAAAGCTTCCCTCGTGTTTGGTACTTTTTGAGCAAGCGTTTCATATTGTGACTGTTGTATTTGTTTGTTTATGTTACGATCTTAATTTCTATTTGCCTTTTCCTTTTTAAGGTTGAGGAGCAGCAAAAGAAAGCCTTGGAGGAAGATCCAACCGTATTTGATTATGATGGTGTCTATGACAAGATGAAAGAGAAAGTCGCACGTCCATTGGTGCAAGATCGTGAAGAGAGAAAGGTATGTTTAACAACTGTTTATAACTCTACAGAATCATGTATTGAGAAACTGAGAATCCCTGCCAACATAAAGATACACCGTTGTACTTGTATCTTTCTTTTCTTTTAATTTTTGGAATAAAAATTATCCTTTCATCAAGTAATCTGTGTTTTATGTAACAAAAATCATCTTTGTAGTACCCTTATGTTGTTTTGGTAGGGTAGTGACATATCAGATGGTACATAGCAAATGACACAGAAAAATCCTTGGTATAAGGAGGCATATACGCAAACAAAAGATAGATAGATCATCAGTTAGCATATTGGAACATATTCCTGATGTGTTAAAGTATCTTAAATTGGATCAAAATTGTGAGATTTTAAGATTTAACATTTTCACATTTTCACGAGTACTGTATGAAGGTGTTAGTGTCAATCTGGGTATTGGTGTTATGTATGAATACAACTTGTTAGAATAGTGAAAAATGGTTGATAGTTGGTTTCAGATAGGCTATGTAGTCATTCCTTTTTAATAATTTTTTAAAATTTATTTTTTGTTTTACTTTTGTTGAAAATTTTCATTTTGGTTTATTTGCTAAATGACATTGGTACTCATCATTAACCTCTAATCTTTGATGCAGCCTAAATATATCGAAAATCTGATTAAAAAAGCAAAAGAGAGAGAGCTGTATCGTGAGATTGTTTATGAGAAAAAGATTGCCAAAGAGAGAAGCAAAGATGATCATCTCTATATGAACAAAGACAAATATATTACGGAGGCATATAGAAAGGAGCTTGCCAAACGAGAGAAACAAATGGAGCTAGAACGTCTGCGGGAACTTCAGGAGGAAAGAGATGACGTATGCTGCCGTTTTTTAAATCCCGCATAGTCTTTTCAATTTTTTAATATCTCTTCTGGTTATCAATCTAGATTGGCTGTGGATTTCAAAATGGAAAACGATTCTAATGTTTTCCTTTCTTTCTCCCTTATTTTAGTGTTTTTTTTAATAATTAACTTGGCATGTTTGTTTATGGTTTAATTCCTATCTCTATTTTAAATTACTGAAATTTTTTGGGTTTTAATATTTGCATAGGTTACCAAGAAGAAGGACTTTTTGCTTGATTTTTATTCAAACCTTGATAAAAATGTCGCTTATGGAGCAAAAGATGCTGAAGCGAGGAAACGTGACAATCAGGCTGAGCATAGAGTCCAAGAGACCCATGAAGGAGTGAGCCATGCATCAAATGAGCATGAACATGGTAATGTATCAGAAGATGTGCAACATTCATTGGGTAACTCGAGTTCCCCAGTGGAATCTTCAAGAGAAAAGATTGGGGATCCGGGTGAAGCTCCTAATCCTTCTGATACGAAACCAAATCTTGAGGATTCAACGGAAGAAAAGAGTGAAAAGAGTTCAGCTGAACAGCCATCAGAACCAAAGCCCGATCATCACAAAAGAAGTCAAGATGCCCTGGTTGCAGCAAAAGAGCGCTTCCTGGCACGTAAGAAAGCAAAGGAACAATAAAAATTTCCCTGCATTTGTTCAGATGCCCTGCGGATCATTTTGTTTTAGGTGCTTGATTAATACATATGATGTTCTGTAATCTTCAATGCTAAAGAGCTTTATCTGTCAAAGTCATAGAATGAACTGGTATACTGTGTTAATATATGATATATAATTTGGTGCTGTTTCATGATTCAATTCATTTGAGCTTCAACATTTTCAAAAGCAAAATTCGTCTCCATCTGTGAATGATTTGAATAAAAAGTATGAAAATCGCTTTGTCTTACGATTCTAAGTCCTAAAATCTAACAAATAGAAGCATAATTCTTACTTCAGAAGACTCTTGCACCACTAGAATTCTTCTAAGAATAGTTTTTTTTATTTTAATTTTTAATATTATTTAACAAAGAATAAACACTATAAAATAAGATCTGCAGTTGTCTCTTGTCTAATTTGGAAGTTCGCATGAGTTGTTTGTTTAATTTGCTAGCTGATTTGATAGGGTTGTTTCTATTTCAATGATATGTTTCTTAATGAAGTAGGCGGTGACGTATTTGATGAACACTTATTAAACTACCGGGAAGAAAATTCAATTGACAAGTTCATTTGAGATTACTCTTCTTTAGCTTATTAATGATCATTTCACATTCTAAACTTTTTGATCTAAACAAGTTATCTTTTAAGGGAAAAAGGATATACACTCACAATATAAATAATTTTATACAGTCATCAAATTGGCAATCACAAATCATCTTATATAGTGACTTTTACAATATTTATCTTAAAATTTATATCAATAGTAATTTTTAATTGATTGATTTTGTAAAATTATTTTATACGAATAAAGTTTAACTATTAATTTTTTAATTTAATTTGAGTATTAGATATTTATCATATCAGTTACAAATTAGTATTTTCTTTTAACATATATTGATGTTTATGGAATGTTTGGATGAAAGATAAAAAATAAAGGAAAAATAAAATGGATAATAATGTTTTTTTTTTATTTGATTGAAGAGAAAATGAAAATAGCATTACTTGTGATATTTTAATCGTAAAAATGTTAGTAGTTTTGAAAGAAAAGGACTATAACATAGTATCTTAGCAATTATTAAATAGTGGTATAAGTATAAAGAATTTTTTGGATTTGTAAAATATTAGTAGTTTTGAAAGAAAAGTGCTAAATATATGTACATGTACTAAATATATGTATATGTTTGTTTTGTAGTTGTTACAATTTTTAGGAGAAACTTAATCACAGAAACCTATATCTTATTGGATTGAGTCAAATTGAAGTTTGAGAATTTAACATGTAAAACTAAAATTAAACACCTTAAAATATTTAAAACAAAGGTAATATTAATGATTGTAATAATAAATAACTGAATCACAATGTAAATTAGATATAATAAGTGATGAGAAATGTGTAAACATTATTTCACACATATTTTCATATAGGTAAAGATATTGATGATTTTGAATTTAAATTTTTACAATTTTACTTTTTGATTGTTATCACCGTTTTACTTTTTGTCGTCTCAAAAAGTTTCTTAACTAATAAAATTATATTTTAAAAACTCTTATTTTTTTTCTTGTTCTAATTACATTAGACTCGATTTGTATATCAACGATACGAAGAGGAATAAGAAAAAAAAATTAAAGAAAAAACTAATGTATTTTAATTTTAATACTTACACTGATTTGTTTATTATAACCATGAATCTGAACGCTAAACTACATTTAGTTCTTAAATTTGATCTTCGACTGAATATGATACGTTGTCTATCCGTTATCTTGATACCGATGGTGTGACTCGTGAGCACTGACGTGCATGCATAAAAGTCAATAGCAAAGTCTGCATGAACCGCCTGTGAGGAGATAAAATTGAAGAATCACATCTTGACCTGGTCCTTTGATTGATATGAGTATTCTTACCAACCTATAAATACATTATGAAAGGTGCAGCCTCTCATCTCCAAAGCATTCAACTTATAAGAGCTGCCAAAAGAAATTACGATCAATTCAACAACCCAAAAATGGAAGAACAAGTAGGCAACAAACAGGTTCTGGCTTCAGGTCTCATAACGGGTAATCCAAAGCAAACAGACATGTATGTGCACACTTCTACCATAACCTTGCAACTTCCTCCAGAGGCTTCAAATGCTGTGCTGGTTAAGAACCTCTATTTATCCTGTGATCCTTACATGAGAGGAAGCAAAACAACAGCTAAAACTAGACTCTTCTATTCCTTTTCTCCTAATTCAGTAAGCACACTCTTACACAACTCTCTCTTTGCATATATATAATCCATGTTATCTTTTTTTGCTCTTTGTTTATATGGAACTGTAAACTATATAGATTTAAGATTTAATTTTGTGGTGTTAAACTTTTCCCTCAGCCAATAATTGGGTATGGAGTATGTAAAGTACTGGATTCCAAACACCCAGACTTCAAAAAAGGAGACTTGGTGTGGGGAGTTACAAAATGGGAAGAGTACAGTATCATCACAACCATGACTGAAAGCCTCTTCAAAATTGAGCATACAGATGTTCCTCTTTCCTATTATACTGGACTTCTTGGTAATGACTTGAGAGTTGAGACTATTTTTTTTTTTTCTTTTCTTTATATATACATTCATACATGGATGATGGATAGCATTGGCAAATGACAATTTGTTAACAGCAGCATATATTTTATTAACTGGCTATTACCTGTTTGATTGTGAACTTTTTCACTTGTAGGTATGCCTGGTATGACTGCTTATGCAGGTTTCTATGAAGTTGGGGTCCCTAAGAAAGAAGACTACGTGTTTATATCTTCAGCATTTGGTGCCGTTGGTCAACTTGTTGGTCAACTAGCAAAATTGATGGGTTGCTATGTTGTTGGAAGTGCAGGAAGTAAAGATAAGGTAAAAATATTGCATGGAACAACAATTTCATGTATCAAATTTGAACAACCTCAATCAATTGTTCTGCTTTTTTCGTGTAAATAAGGTTGAAATTTTGAAGAATAAGTTCGGGTTTGATGGGGCTTTCAATTACAAGGAGGAACAAGACCTGAATGCAACTTTGAAGAGGTGAGTACTTAATTAGCATTTAGCATATCCATAGTATATATATTAAAAAAAAATAACTTTTTGTTATCCTAATAAACAGTAGTTGATCTTCCACAATGCTAAACATACTAAATGTTGTGGTTTAATTGGTGATAGGTACTTCCCTGAAGGCATTGACATTTACTTTGACAATGTTGGGGGAGACATGCTTGAGGCAGCCCTTCTTAACATGAGAAGGCGTGGTCGAATTGTGGTGGCTGGAATGATATCACAATATGATCTTGATGAGCCTCAAGGCATAAAGAACTTGGTCAATATCATATACAAGCAGATCAAAGTAGAAGCCTACACGGTTTATGATTATTATCACCTATATCCCAAATTCTTAGATACTATTTTGCCATATATTAGGGATGGAAAGATAACATATGTTGAAGACATAGCTGAAGGTCTTGAGAGTGGTCCAGCTGCATTAGAAGCCATGTTCAAAGGCCATAGTGCTGGCAAACAAGTGGTTCAACTTGCTCATGAATAATTTGTACAACCTCACTGTTTAGCCTTCTTTTTAGTTCTGATTTGTGTGTGACTCTCATTTTAATAGGCTGTTTGAGCAATATACAGATTTGTATCTTGTGTAACGCATCTACTAATGAACATATATATTTCATTTTTTATTTTATAAATAAATCCGTACCAAGTTATCAATCTCTACCTGAAATTAATTCAAATATTTCCAAAAGTCACAAAGTTGTGATGTAGTAGGACTGAAGGATCTATCGAGTGGGAGGAAAATTTTCATGATGTATATACGTGTTATTTGATTTCTTGCCAGAAATTTGTTAGATAGTTCTATCAATTCTGAAATTAAAAAGTAATTTCCCCCACCCACAAGGCTACAAGAATGAGTCATTAAATTCTTTTAATATAAAATAGATAATACATTTATAATATAAAATAATTTTATATTATCATTTGATAATTACAAATTAGTTTATGTAACTTTTATAATAACACTTTTAAAAATTATGTGAATATGATTATTTAAAAGTGTAAAATTATTATACATTATCGACTCATAATTATTGAAATCATACGATGCAGATACTACAACACAAATAGTTTTAAGCAACATTTAAAAAATATTACTTAATTGTGTATAAATATTATTAATTTTCTTTATCAACACATTATCAAATGTTATATATAGTTCATGTTATTAAAGACTTTTAATAACATTTTTTACATAATTAGATAACATTTTTTTAATGTTATCAAAGTAATATTTTTATAACATTTTAATGATGTTGCTAAAATTTTATTAAGATTTTGTTAATTTTATAAAATTATAATTAATTTTAATTTAGATATTACTATCAATTATTATATTTTTATAATAATAATTTTAAAAGCCACGTGAATATAATTATTTAAAAGTGTAAAGTTATTATTATCGACTTATAATTATTGAAATCATACAATGCAGATTTTTATACATATTATAAAGAAAGTACAGATATTATAATTTTTTTTAATCTCTGTTTTCTTATCATCATACTTAAAAAAATCATATTTTATGAATATTTATCAAATCATTCTTAAATTATTTTTTAAGAAACATAAAGTGTCTCTTTTTTTATTAATAGTTTTTTAAAATTTATCCTTTAGTTAAAAATATTACTTTAATATCTATATTTTTTATTTTATTTAATTTTAGTCTTTAAAGTCTATTACTATAAAAATTAAAAGATAAAATTTTATAAAAATAAAATTATAAAAGTATAGAATTTGAAATAAAATAAAAACTTGGTTTATAAGAATTAAAATAAAATATTTTAATTATAAAAATTACAAGATAAGATTTATGAAATTATAACAATTAAAAGAAATTAAACTTTTAATTAATAATTTTGAGTTCAGATTATGAATATACAACTATAGTGAATGCTTGACAGGAAAGTCGTATTGTCCATGCATAACTAATAATGTTAACAAACTTGCAAAACATTATCTCCAATAAAAATAGTTGTGTTTTCTTGAAGAGAAAAAAAAGTTTATTCTCCATTGCAAGACTCCAAGGAAAAAGCCTGATGCAACGTATGTACGTATGTTTTAATTTGCTCACTAACATATAAATTAAAACCATAAGCCAAAACTATAAACTAGCAGAAAAAATTAACAAAATTAATAGAAAAGGTTCTAATACATAGTATTTTTAACAATTAACTCACTTGAACTTTTAACCCGTGATAAATAATCTCTTGAATGAAAAAATAAACTTGGTTCACGTTAATCACACACCAACCTGTCCAATTAATTATTCCATGCACTTAGATATGAAAAATATACCCAGTTGACAGGGAAAAATGTTACTGGCTCTCTTAAAATATAAGAGCAACTTTTAGGTAGTAATAATGGTTCAATTATTGAGAACTCGTGCATGTCCTTGTACATTTCTAGACTATAGAATTAATTTTCTATTATGTTTGTGACAATCCCACTATTATCTCACATTTATCAATAATATCTTTCTTGGTTGGTCGTGTCGTATTAATAAGCATTAAAACATTTGAATATCCTTCGTATCTTGTCCCTCTTGCCCCTTTTCTCACAATATTTGTCATTCATATGTTTTCTTAGCTATATCATGACACCAAATCTTCATGACGTTTTAATTGGGAGAAGTGGGAACATGTTTATTTGTTTTTTTAGTAGAACTTAACTTATCCAATATGAATAAGCATTAATGGTTCCGTCGTTTATTCTTTGGGCGTGTCATGCACTTGCATCTCATACATTTGATTTAAGACAAGTGTTATACGTACAATTATGACAACTTATGTAAATTGGTTTAATGACTAATTAATAGTAATATTAGGAGAGTAAGAGTGCTAGCTCTTGGTGTTCCCATTAGCAATAGGTGTTGAAATATAACCCATCTTTTAATTTGACCATTTTTTAAAAATTAAAATTTAGGTTTAATAAAATTTCAAAAATCATGATACGCGTGGAAGAACATTTAGAATATGTTTACTTTATACTTCATCAATCCTAACCCATTTACCAAGAAAATTTTATTTTATAAAAAAAGGAAGAGAAATGTTTTGCACCAAGTCCCTAACCCTAGATTGTCTATCACTCCAATCAATATTAACTGCCAAATATTGTCATACCAGGATGAGCTCAGCCGTCATTTTAGAACTTTTTTTAATAATATCAAATGAGCTAAAGGAAACATCCTGTTTTTAAACTAGCAATCCACTTATTAAGAGGAAAAAGGTGATGTCAACTTTAATATAATTTTAACCTGTATTTTATCAACTAATCGCAATAGAAGCACGGTTTGGACAACAAAAGAGACATCACTTTTTCAACTCAAATATATATAATGTAGAGTAATTAAATAACTCGCCATTACCTTACAAGTAATAGCAAAGAAATTATAAACAAAAACAAGTCCAGCTAGTGAATGCTGAATTGCATTATTTGAAAATATGGGTAGGTGTTAGAAACCTATAGCGAATTTTCTCTACTGATTAACTTTGGCGATTCGTGACATTTTTTAATATTAGATTATGATTGACAATAGTCCTTCATGATTCAAGAGAATCATCGTTATTAATCGGATCAAATGAGTGAGTTAATATATGGTAAGAGAAGGGAGTTTAGGAGTTTAGACCATTGAAATTGTTGGAGTTTTGATGAAAAAATAAATTAACCTACGTTGTTGTCATGTTTCTGCTCATTGTCCCACAATTCCACTAAAACACTTTCTTTGTTTACAAGAGTGAAATGCACGGTTACTTGTCCCACTGAATGACCATGACTATGCATGCTTGTGCTGATTTAAGGCATCCATGTTGTTCAATTATTGTATTTTTTTATATAACAAATTTAAGTGAGTTAGATTTTGAAGTTCACTATAATTAGGATAAATCTTGAGACTCAAACGCTTGCAATGATATTTCCATATTATTGATCAACATGATTCTTCCATCTGCCAAGTCAAAGCTCACTTACGTTCTTGAGAGATATGAATTTATATCTTAGTGACAGAACCAACTTTATTTGTTGTTGAATTATTGTATTGTGAATACATATGGACATGCAGATACATATATATGATTATGGAAGAAACATGTTGTGTGTGTATGCAGCTGTCACTCTTCTTTGTGTCTCGTACAGAAATATATTGTCCTTTGCCCAACTGCCCTTCACATCACGCGTGCGTGTCCTTTAACCACACCAACATCACCAATATTTGCTCGAATCATTAGCTATTGCACATACACTATGTGTTCAGTGGCATTTCAGAATTTGCATGCCCACAGAACAAAAAAATGGGGAACCAATAGATTAGGTTGGAGACGGTTGCCATTGCTTTCTGATAAATTTTTTTTATTAAAACAAAGGTTGATTATTAAAAGCACATCCCTTTTGTTTAGAAATCTAATTTCTTTTGGGTATATGCACTCAAGGTGAGAAGAGAGAGACAAACAAGAGACAAAATGCAAAATAATAAATGTGTCCATTATTGTGTAAAGAGAAAGAAAATTGAAATTTAAAGGAGTAAAAAAATAAATAAATAAAAAAGCAGAATTATTTTATGCTAGCAAACAGAGGATGAAAGTTTCTAATTAAAAAGGCTAGCATTATAAAATGATCTTTAAAAATTTGAAGTTTTCCACTTTTGAAGCTTCACGCTACTCAAGGAACGTACTGGGTTTTTGGATTAGAGATTGAAAAGGTGAGTGAGAAAGGAGAAGTGGATTTCATCTTTAGTCTTTATTTATTTTAAGCACAAGGCAAAGCTGGCGCATATCCTAGTCAATAAAGTAATTGAGTTTCTCCTAATTCCCTCTTAGTGAACCCAAACAAGGGAAAACAACAGTCATATATTGCATCAATGCTCACAATACAGAGTCCAACAAATGAATTAATGCTTCTAATCCACATTTTTTTTTCTACTTTTTTGCAACAACTAATGTTTCCAATTTCTTGTATTCTACGTATATCAACTGTGAATGTCTAAGTTCAAAGAAAAATGTCTGGAGATCACTATATAGTTAATTTTATAAATGTGTACCTACCGGTCGATCCTTCTTTTCTGGTCTAACTAGGAAATTTCTTGTAACTTTATCGTATCTGATCAAATACAATGTCAATGTCTTTGGTTACTTTCTTCCCCACGCGACAGTATTATACTAATCCTCCTTTCTCTTATTAAACAGATCATGTTGTGTTGGCGTGACCCAAAAAAAGGGGTCACAGACACACACGTCTGGTTGCTCCATGGGGGCGTTCTTTTCTCCAAAACCACCCCACAAGTTAATTTTAGTACCACAACAGAGAGAACAATAACATCATGAGTAAATGAAAGACAACATTCAAATAAAAGTAAAAACGGGATGCAAAGCAAGCACACTATCTATTGTTCATTTGCCCATTGAGCACTTCTAGTACACTATAAGGTGAATGAAAATAAAAAAAAAAGTAGGTAAAGACAAAACATGCTCCATCAATGTTCAAAATCTATACTTGATAACCATAATTTATTTTTGGTAAACTAAAGTATCCCAGTATTGGATTGATATCTTCAAACAAATGATTTTTCATGGATACTGCATACACATTAATGAAGAATCGAATTTCTCATCACATATTTTAAAAAATATAAGGCTAAATACCATGGTTTACATTAGAATATCAAGTTCACTTAACAAATATTATGTGCACCACCACCAACTAACTTTCCATCTTGCTGTAACTCACCACTCCTCCCACATGTAAATCACTCCAAATACTAAATTACAAAAACAGAAACTTCTCCTCCATCCAATTATTCCCACAGTAAACCAAGCCTTGCCCAAAACCCAACCAAATAAATCCCTCACTCCCCACAACACACTCCCATCCGAACACATTCAGAAAACACACCATGTTCACAGTCCTACTTCTCCTCGCACTGCTTCTAACCACCTCCACTTCTCACAACCTGTCATACCCTCATTTCCAACAACTCAACGTCAGACAAACCCTCTCACAAACCAAACTCACCCCAACCCAACACACTGACACCCAACAATCACCAACAAAATGGAAACTAAAACTCCTCCACAGAGACAAAGTCCCCACCTTTAACACCTCCCACGACCACCCAACCCGATTCAATGCCCGGATGAGCCGAGACGCCAGAAGGGTCGCCGGCCTCCTCCGCCGCCTCGCCGCCGGAAACTCCACATACCTCCCGGAAGCATTCGGTTCGGACGTGGTCTCAGGCATGGACCAAGGAAGCGGAGAGTACTTCGTTCGAATCGGAGTTGGAAGCCCACCTCGAAACCAATACGTGGTGATGGACTCAGGCAGCGACATTATATGGGTCCAATGCCAACCCTGCACCCAATGCTACCACCAATCCGACCCCGTTTTCAACCCCGCCGACTCCTCCTCCTACGCCGGCGTCCCCTGCGCCTCCGCCGTCTGCACCCATGTCGACAACGCCGCCTGCCACGACGGCCGCTGCCGCTACGAGGTCTCCTACGGCGACGGCTCCTTCACCAAGGGCACCCTCGCCCTCGAGACTCTCACCATCGGCAAAACCCTAATCCGTAACGTCGCCATCGGCTGCGGCCACCGCAACCAGGGCATGTTCGTCGGCGCCGCGGGCCTCCTGGGCCTCGGAGGCGGGCCCCTATCCTTCGTGGGCCAGCTCGGCGGCCAGACCGGCGGGGCCTTCACTTATTGTTTAGTCAGCCGCGGAGCCCAAGCCCAAGCCCAATCCTCCGGCTCGCTTCAATTCGGCCGCGAAGCCATGCCCGTGGGCGCCGCTTGGGTTCCACTTATCCACAACCCGCGGGCCCCCACCTTTTACTACATTGGGCTTTCGGGCCTCGGAGTCGGGGGCCTGCGGGTGCCCATTTCCGAAGACGTTTTTAAACTGACTGATTTCGGCGACGGCGGGGTCGTCATGGACACCGGCACCGCCGTGCCGCCGCTTCCCGCGGCGGCGTACGACGCATTCCGCGACGCTTTTGTCGCGCAAACCACGAACCTGCCCCGCGCTTCGGGAGTGTCGATTTTCGACACGTGTTATGATTTATTCGGGTTTGTTTCGGTTCGGGTTCCGACGGTGTCGTTTTACTTCTCGGGTGGGCCAATTTTGACCCTACCCGCGAGAAACTTTTTGATACCAGTTGATGACGTGGGAACTTTTTGCTTTGCATTTGCTCCTTCTGGTTCTCAGCTTTCCATCATAGGGAACATTCAGCAAGAAGGGATTCAAATTTCGGTGGATGGAGCTAATGGGTTTGTGGGATTTGGACCCGACGTTTGTTAAATAAATGATTTTTGCTAGTCTTAGTCTCATGTCACATATTGTATTATATTATAATATATAGATCACGTTAACGTATAAAAGAAATAATAACTATTAGGTGGTCGTGCATGTGGTGATTAACTACTATAATTTGTATCATTCGGGTTTTGATAGCTAAAAGTATGTGTAAAACAAGTTCTTGTGGAACTAGAATTTTATAATGCAAAAGTAGTGGCTCTATTAATATATATAATGAATGGTCAAACATTGGTAGGGTAACTCAGGACATAGTCAAAAGGAACAAAGAAAAGATAATTTGCTCTATTGGGCATTTAGTAAATCTTTATCTCTATCATGTATGAGGAGGATCCAAGAGAGTACTTTTACTCAATTTGAAGAGGGGAAATGATTTAGTTTCACTACTGATGGGGGACATAGCCTCTGACATCTTTTTCTTTTTTCTTTCTTACTTTCACATATACAGATTCCCTCTTCTGAGAGAGGTGTGTGTGTGAAAGCTGGTAGAGCAATTGAATGATGAGTGAAGGGGAGCCACCACTACCAACCATTATGAACATGTGAAACCATCACTAGGGACTCTGGTCTACCTTTGTTCGGAGTGCATTCGATCAATGTCTTTTACAAAGGCAAGCCCATTTACTTTTCCCCTTTTGAGGGATCTAAGATTAAGATAAATCACCGAGGTCTTTTTCTTTTTAGTTCTTAATATGGCTCATTATTAGCACCAAACACATACTTACATGTCTTATTCACATCAATGTGAGATGTACATGTGGTAATTTTAGCAGCAGTGAAAATTTGAAAATGATAACTTTTTCTCGTGGATTAATATATGGCTTTGTAAGCACTTTATATAGGCCCACCATAAAGTTGGACCCTGTTGATGAAAAATGGTGAAAGGATGTATGTTTTGATCTGAGATTAAGATCACAAAGGATATACTTTTGCATGTTTTTCCTACTGGATCTGAGGAAAGTAAACTACGCCCAAGTTTCTATACAACGCATCACATAAGTCACTTTCACAAAATCAGCGGTTCTTGATTCTCTGTCGTTAGTTCTTCAATGCAATGCTTTTCTCGATGTGATACAGTTAATATCAACAGAAAAGAACTGCCATAAGTAGAGTCTTCCACTTATTTTGAAGATCAAATATTCCATGAATAAACCATATTAACCTAAGTTCAACCTTTTTCTATGATAAATAAAAATAAATAGACTAAATTGCACTTTTGTTTTATTATTTTTATTTTTTATCCATATGCAATTTTTGTCTCTATTATATAAGTTTATTGTTAAATTTTAATTTTGTTCAATAACATGTCATTTCTTAAATGTCATAATATTTAATAGCGTGACATAAAAATAAATTATAAAATAACATTCTTTTTATTTGTATATATTTTAACAAGTGATTAGTATTTTACTAATAAATCTTATTTACATACTTTTTAATTTTTTTATATTTTTAAATGTCATTATTAAATATAACATCACTTAAATATAAGCAAATATTAAATTTGTCATTGTCAATTTCACAAATAAACCAAATTTTCATATTTTTAAAATTAAAATAATTAAATACCTCTATTTTAAAATAAAAGAACCAAAATTATGGATTAACAAAAATAAAGATATCAAAAGTACAATTTAACCAAAAAATAAATAACCCACCAGGCATCTAGTCACAAATGCTCTACTTATTAGAGAATTAAATCAAGTGACAGGAATATTGTTACAAATTTCATAAAACTTGATTATTCGTTAGGAATTTAATAAATTCATTAGATAGTAATATTGTAATGTAATTAAAGAAAACCATGCTTAATCAACATTCTAAATTTCAAATAGTAATGTTTCATTTAAACTTTCAGAATTTGTTCTAAAATATGAATTCAAATTGTCTTGACCAAATTTCACCGGAGCTGGGGGCAAAGCATGGAGGCTACCAGCTAGCTCCACAGTATAATAAGTATTAGTCCAGCTTAGCAACAAATATTTGCTTTCCCTGCACAGTTTAAGATTATAAGGAAAAGAAAAACTGTACACTACAACAAAAGAAAGGGCAGTTGCACAAGGTCATATTTTTCATAAACCATATCATTTAACTAAGAATATTTACAGGCAGCCTTCAGCTACATGGCAGTTTGGAGGACAAAATTGCCCTTGTGGGCTTCAAAACTGATCAAGTTAACACTTTGATCAACCAAGCTTCACCAGCCAACTTGTGCAACGGATGTCAAACACCCCTTAAGAACCATCTCAATTCCATGCCAAACCGCTCATGGGAAGAACAAGCATTGAGCGGTCTAGACCATGAAAAGATATTTCAGATCATCCACTGTAAGGCGAGTTCCAGAAGCACCAGCATGGTCTTCCCCAAAAGCGGATGCAACCATTTTTCTCTTTTCTTCCTGCCAGATGTTACAACACAAGAAAATCATCAGAATTTGTCATTTGGCAGATACATTTTGTCTTCACCATCCCCATATCAAAGCTTACTAAAACAAATAACCTTTAAAAAGAATATCACTTCATGGGCTGACTTCCCCTTTAGCTTTTGGAGGAAGCACCTACAAAAATTAAAGTGACTTGGGATTTTTATGAGATTAACTTCCCCTTGAACCATAATAGAACTTGTGTTGATCTCATAAATCCCTACTTTCAGGTTGCATTATCTTTTATGCATTTTAAAACAAAAATAAACTAACTGTGCCATAAAAGTGTCATCTTTCAACCAATCAATTTTGTTTAAAGAATTTAAAAAGTGAGAAATATTAAAAAGGAGAGGGAAAAGGTGAAAGGGAAAACAATTCAAAACTTAGAAATCAGAGCAATTTCCCATTGGCTGCTAAGCCTCACTCATGGTGACCCTAAATCCAATTTCCCCACCAAGTATGAACCCATTTCGACACATAAAAGTAAATTCAAGCGACAGATATTAACCTGAAGTGCCAGTATCCTGTCTTCAACCGTATCTTTTATAGTGATCCGTGTCACAGTAACAGGACGAGTTTGTCCAATCCTATGAGCTCGATCAATAGCTTGATCTTCAGTGGTTGGATTCCACCAAAGATCCAAAAGAATAACATGACAAGCAGCAACCATATTCAAACCAAGGTTTCCTGCTTTTAGTGACATTAGCATAACAGTTACCTGAAACAAATTTCAGTTAGTCAGGCACCAAAGGCTACCAAGGTTGAGGCACTTGAAACACAGTACATAATTCAAGTTCAAGTAGAAAACATATTGATTAAAATTGCAACAAGCATCTGCATCATTGATATAACTATGAACAGGATTAAATTTCATACTACTCATCTACTAACTAATAGTTTCTCATATTACGGTGTCATTTATAGATTTGCATAAAAAATTTACAGTACAGCTTTAACAATGTAGGGAAGGGCCAAACCTCAGGCTCGGTATTAAAATCCTTAACAGCTTTGTCCCTTGCACCAAGAGTCATCCTACCATCAAGTCTCCTGTACAGTATATCAGATTGTCTCAGTGATATCTCAACTAAGTCCAGCATGCTAGTCCACTGAGAAAAAACTATAGCCTTTATTGGTCCTTCAGTTGTGGACTCAGAATACTTTCTTGTGTGTTTTGTAACTCCAATGTCTGGATCACAGTCTTCAACATATAAATTATCAGCAGACAGTGAATCTCTATAACCCACAGAAGAGTTTGGTAAGTCAGAACTAGAACCCATCAATTTACAATTTGACTCCAAAACCTCAAGAACAGCTTTGATTTTAGATGAAGTATAGTCACTCTGCTGCACCAGTGAATAATCACAAAGTATTGAATCTGCAGAACTATTACTATCACCATCATCACAGATGCAACTCCTCAAAGTAGTTTTGGAGAAAACAACATCTTCACCAATTAGTTCTTTGCAACCAACTGCAGGGCATGTATTATCATCACCAGCCAAATATTCTGATACACATTGATAACAGTAGACATGACCACACATTGTAATAACAGGGTCGTCAGGGGGGTCCTGTTGAAATAACAGAACATATCAGCCACAGCCATTATTAACATCAAATTGCTAATGTTTACCAGTCATCTATAACGGGTTAACTGAGAAATCAAAATCCAAAAATTCTTCTAAGCAATTACAATAAAAGTCACAAATTCGGTAATCAATCAATAAAATGTTATCAGTTAAAAAGATCAAGTCTTTGTAAATATTTCTCTTCATCTCAATAATTTTTTTCCTTTTATCAAAAATAAATAAATAAAAGCATGTACTTGAAAAAAATAATATTTAAGAGCAGGATAACAACAGTGAAATTTAGATTAAAAAAACAATTGTTAGGTGTGAAATGCATTCAGTTGCAATTGATGGTTTTGGATATTTACTTACGCTACTAAAAACTTTCCATTGATAAGTTTGCCAAAATTACAACTAGAACCCCTTATGATTTAAAACTCATTTCCATCATAATCACATCATTTTCTTATATCGAGTATGTTAAGAGTATAAACTTCATCCATTTTAGTAAACAAATTTCTGTTTAAAATATAGGGAGTGTAAATATACCACACTCCTAAAACACGGCCACTTTAAGCATATCAATACAAATTTCTGTTAGCAGTCAGTTGATATTTTTTCTTGGTAATTGAAACCCAGTGAAGTCTAGCTTCAAATGTTTAAAAGAATACATATACCATAGGAACAACAAAACTTATAAAGGATATGGAGTACCAGCAAATTTGCAGAGGGCATGTTCACAACAAAGGAAAAAATAATAAAAAAATAACACATCTGAAGTTAACTCACATTGCAAACTTGACATAAAGCAAAAGTCGTTTCCAAACAATTAAACAGATTAATCTGCATATCCCTTGGGAGATTTTTTGCCATTTCAACAGAAGTTTTCCCAACAGGATCAGAATTAAAATCTTTTACAAGAAGTGGGTGATCACAAGCCTGTCGTAGACGTAAAAGCATTAAGAGAATATTAGCATAGTTTTGGTTTACTGTCCCAGCAGCAGCATATGCCTGCAAATTACAAGCTTTTCATATCAGATCTACAATCCTTCATAAAAATAGAATCAATGAACAAAAATATTCTAGAATTTGCAGAAGTCTATGCTATACATTTATAAATTAGATACAAAGAATGAGGCACGGGATATTTAACATCTCCACCCCAGCACCTCTTACGTATCAAGTATATTTATTGACAACCCACGACTGATTTGCCAAGGCA